TAATAAACACAATGTCCTCATATTGCCAGTCTTGCCATTTTATACCTGAAATTCTATACAAATATTATACAATTGGACTAAAAGCCACAAAACTGTCATATATTCACATGAAAGGGTCATGATTTGTCATGTTGCATGTTTTGATCAAGAGGAGTAGAAGCTATGCTCTTGTGTTCTTTCATTCTGTAATGTCACTAAATAATTCACACTTTAAAATCGACTAAAACACGCAGCACTCACTAAAAAAGAAACCTCTCAGAATGGATACCGAGCATCTTGTTCATTTTAAAAACGGTGTACATTATCTGATGGAAAGCCACAGCAGCGTTTTGAATAAAATTACTGTGTAACTCATGCGGCGGATGCATCACTTTAGAGATGTGTGGTGTGGTTGTGCTTCTCAAACCACAACCTACAAAATGTCATACAAGGCTGTGTTCCTGCTGCACTAACACACTCATACACACACACACACACATAAAAGTAAGACGAAAATAATAGTAATCAAGCAAATAAAACTTGACATATTTGATAAGTTAACTTTTGATATTTGAACAATGTTGATTTAAATTGCATGTTCATGTGACTGTTTTTTGTTTAGTAACTTAAATTCTGTGTTGATGTTCTTGTTGTCATGATGACCCTGTTTGAACAGGAAGCAGCTATGACACAAAGCGGTACGCAACACACACTCTTTACCATTTTGTCAAGTGGTAAAACATTCAGAGTGTCTGTCATGTTTGAATCTGATTTTGTCTGTATGGGAGGAAATTAAACACTTTACACCTCCTGCTGTGTCAAAAACAAGATGGATCAAAACATTGCTGATATTCTGAACGATGCATTCAAAGGTAAGTTTTCTGTATAACACTTTGTGTTTAATGTACATTTGCGCATATCATATCATATGATCCCATATTTTGAATTGTGCATTGATGAGAGTGTTTAAAGTTGAAGAAAATGTCTGTAAACAACAGAAAATGTACTGGTATTTTCTGCCAGGACGTGATCTGTTTTTCTACTGCTTTTTTTCTTACAGTGTAATTAGTACTGATGTCTGTACTCATTTTTTTTTAAAGAAACAGAGGCAAACTTTGAGCATCTAAACTTTGATGATGATGCAGCAACCGCACACAGCATTAATGTGCTTCAACATGAGCCAGATGTGGAGGAGGACGACAGTCACAGAGAATCCAGTGGATCTGATTGTGACATAGATTTAGAGTGGACGAATAGGGAAGAGGAAACTAAGCACTGTTTTGAGAACAATAGGAACTTCTCTTTAGATGAACAAAGCATGAAGGCAGGATCTACGCTTTGTGGTTCACGGGATGACAACGATGCAGTCGAAAATAAAACACAAACCCAAAACCAGCAATTAAGCTTCCATGAAGAGGATTGCAGAGAGAATGAATTTGAGATACATGAAGGTGTCCATCAAATGAGCAAGGAACAATCTGAAGATGTCAATGTGCTGGAAACGGTTCTCCCAAAAGAAACTCACTATGGTCTGGATACAATGAGAGCACGGACTCAGGAGGAGATCACATCTCATCTACTGTCCTACCAGATGGTGGACAAATCTGAAAATGAGAGCTCAACATTAAAAGAGGAAAGAATGGAGCCTGACAGCACTGAGGAGCATGTCCTTCAGCATGCACCAGATGATAAGCAGCTCAATAATTTTAGTGCCATTCAGTCAACATTGCAAGACTGGCCAGTAGCCTTAGCGGAGGTTCAGTCTATGAATGAGATGAAAGAATTTACAGAAGAAGATCATGAGGACCATGAGAGAGACGAGGAAGCTTTAGCAGAGTATTCCTCTGATCTGTCTCAAAGTGACAGTGGGGACAGCAGTGAAGGTCCCGAGGGTGGACAACCCAATCACATGGACACCAAGCAAGCTGAGGTGCAGGCTGTAGGCCCAGAAGAACCTCTCCTGCCTTACAGTGTTGTAACTTCAAGGGAAGATGATGTCCAAAAGAAAGATGAATGCATGGATCCTGCAGACATGCTCACTTATGTCAAGAATGAGGATCTGTATGTGGAGACAACAACTGGGAAATCCGATGATGACATATTGTTCCAAACAGATGCTGAATATCATCGTGAGATTTCAAACATTGGGGAAAGTTCTGATTATGGAATCAAATCAAATTCCAATGAATCCTACATGAATGAGCAGCCTGACTATGACAGTCATTTCAGCAGTGATGGTGACGATTACTGCAAAAACCAAGAAGATACACCTGATTTCATTTCACGTACTGTCTCAGAGGACAAAAACACAGCTCTCCAGAAACAAGAGCACACCTTCACAAAGGACTTTGCGACAGACTGGCACAGTATTGAGCACAAACTAGTGGATGGGGTGGTCAAAGATAGCTTGAAACCAGAGATGTGTAATGTAGAAGGTTTATCAAGCATTCCAGCATCTCATGGAACTGTAATGGATGCTTCTTCTGAGACTGATTCATCTGAAAGTGTTGGTGAGTCACATCCATCAGTGAAAACAGACCAGAACAACAAAGAATATAACAGTGAACATTCAAAAGTTTCAGACACTGGAGAAAATGTCCACACTTTGTTACCTGGGACGTTTTGGTCACAGGACATTCTGAAGCTTGATGAATATGACTGGGACATTAATGGAGAAGAGTTGATCTGTGATGAAGAGGACAATTACCTGGAAGAGCTGGAGAACGATGGGGAGGAGACCGAGAGGGACTGGGAGAAAGAAAAGGCAAGAATTGAAGCATTTAACAGATACTACGAGTCTGTCGAAGGCAAGGAAAACAAGGGTAAATGCTCATTTGTGTACCATCTTAACGTCTTAATTTATCACATTTTTATTAGGACAATTTTTTAATTTTGGTAAATTCTTACCCAACAACAACAACAACAACAGGGAGAAGCCACAAAGTGACATTTTGTTTGGAGCCAGAATCCTCTCAGTATGAGGAGGATAGATACAGGTAAGACCAATTTCAACATTTGACACTTCAAAAGGAAAGTGTTTTGTGTTATACTTTAGTGAACCATACAAGCTCATAAATTTGATTTGCATGTGATATTTCCACACGGCAGTGAAGAGGAACCAAGCACAATAGGTTGCATCAGTGAGTTGCATCCTCCAGAGTCCAGTTCAATCAAACAAGACCCAAGCAACAAGGCAGACAGCCATGAACCCTCACACATCAGAGAAAATATCTGCACCCTTCTGATGGATGAGGACAACATGAGACTTGATGATTATGACTGTGATATTAATGAAGTTCAAATGAACTCAAGTATAATGATAGGTGATGACGATCGCGATTTCCTGGAGAAGCTGAAAATTGAAATAGAGAGGGATATGAAGCAGGAACAAGCGAGAATTGACGCATCGAACAGATATTATGAAGAGGACCAAAATGAGGGTTTGTGCTGAAATTTTCTATAGAATCACACTGCCGTTCTAAACTTTGGGGTCAGTAAGATTTTTTAAAAGGAATTAATACTGAATATTTTATTCAGCAAGGATGCATTAAATTGATCAAAAGAGACAGTATACATTTATAGTACTACAAAAGATTTTGAATTCAAATAAATGCTATTCTTTCAGAATCCAGAAAAAATGTATTATGATGAAGTTAAGCAGTTTAACTATTTTCAACATTGATGACAATAAGAAATGAGTCCCAAATTAGCATATTGAAGACTAAAAATTCAGCTTTGCCATCAAAGGAATAAATTACATTATAAAACAGGAAACGGTTATTTTAAACTAATATTCACAGCAATATGGTTTTTATGATCAAATAAATACAAATATATTTTCTTTCAAAAATGTAATTATACACACACACACACTCACTTTCAAGTCCCCTATAAAAAATGGAAAATCCCAATGTATTGCTGGGAAAATATTTTTTGTAGATCAAATGTAAGGGCATGGTGTTAGTATCAAGATCATGGGTTCAGATATAAATGCCTGCTAAATGAATAAATATGTACATCTCTCTTAACAGTCACAGACAGGACCCACAAAGTTATGTTAAGATTTCGCCAACAATCTTCGCAAATTGAGGAAGATAATGATAGGTAAGATGGATTTCATTCAGCTTCAAATATCATTCATATTTCAGATTCGTAAGTTTGCATTTTATATTGTCCTGTAGCAGTGAACAGGAATCAAACACAGAAGATGACACTGCCAGCATCCTGAGGACTGAGGTGAGAACATCAGATCATCAAGCAAACAATAAAATGATCAAATAATAGTAATCAGTCATTGTCTTACTGCTATCCACATGATTCAGGACCAAAGTTATTCTGATGAACCAAATGAGAGACGCTTGTACACAGGAAGGTACAAAGTCTTACCAAAGGGGTTACAAAAGGCAGACAAGCAGCTGAAGGAACAACCCAAGAGAAATAAGGTAAATATTAATTGGCTTGAAATTAAAGGAGTAAATAACAACATGCTCATGGTACGCTTAAGTTATGTATAAATTGTGTAAACATTTGTCATAGAAATGTCAGTTCTGATGCTGCCATTATTAATGTACAATTCAAGTTCCTGTATCAGCCTCAAGCACAACAGCATTAAAGTCATTAATAAATAAGGCTAATAATCTAGCCTAACAGTTCAGATTGTGACCGAACTCTGTTTTGATGTCTCTATAGTGTCTTGTCCTGCTGCGTTCAGTGTTAGCAGTGAGTCTAGCGACGGCGGTGGGTGTTCTGTCTTACTGGTGGGCCACAGACAGCCTGGACTGGATCTACTGAATTCACAAGAATCTTGGATATTCAACATGATTAAATACACACACACACACACACACAAAGAAATCAAGGCCTCTGCAAGTGTGATAGAGAAACCATTGCACAAGGCCATGCAAAATCTCATGAAACGAACAAACCAGCAGACTGAGACAAAACCAACTTTATTTCCTTACAGTATGCAACCTAATATTGTAATGTTTGAACAGCGCATTGAAATACAGCTTTGAAAAATGTTTATATCTTTTAACATTGTTTTCTTATGTTAACCACATCTAGAGAGATTAATCTTCCTCCTTTTTACTAGGAAAAGTGATACATTTGCAGATGTATGTGGTCTCTGGGCCCTACAGGAAACCTGTACAAACAAGTGCTTTCAATGTAAAACTGACCTGGAAAAACAAAACAAATAAATACAACTGATACATTTTCAATTTCTTCATCCCTGACTAGATCTGACTGCAGTTGAAGGGACTTTCTTTTATTGTTATCTCATTTGTCATCCTATTAGGTTGTCAACAAGCTATATTCCATAAACATGCCATGCAGTTAATGTATTTTTAGGTCTGATTTTTATTCAGTGCCTTCTTCACTACAGCATAAAACATGATATCATAGTGCAGGTTACCAACTCTAGAAAATGAAAACTGATTGCATACAATAGCATGGATATTTCTCCTCTGATCATCACCCGGGTTCCTGCAGATATTAATAGTTCCTCCAAAAGTATGTGTCTATCTCCGTAAGTGTTTTGACTTTAATTGTAGCTATAAAAAATTAATTCATCTTTCCATCCTACAGATAAGAAATGTAAGAGGGAAAAAGTACCTGTAAGGCATGCTCAGCTTTCTGCCGTCTTTTTCTTTGGCTGCAATTATTTTCTCCAAAGGAACCATTCAATTTAAAATGTTCATTAAATGCTTACTATGAACACATGCCCTGACTAACTACTCGTTTTCATAACAGTCTCATAACGCATTTCAGGAAAAGACAATGTAAATAAATAAATATCTTATGAATTAAAATGACAGTTTTAAGGTAAAGTGCATTTGATACTGCATTAGCTGTGGTGACTATGCAAAGTAATAAAGAAGAGGTGCCTTTTTTGATTTGAAGATCCATGCCAGTAATTGAATACACACAATCTTTTCCGCTTGTGAACGCACACATCCTTAGCCTCCGTGTTTTTAAAAAAAAATTTTATGTTTATGATTCATTCTCGCTGCTGTGGCATCAATGCAGTCGGTAATCACTCCCACATTTTTGTTTTTCGACATTGAAAACGATTCACTCTATCAAGTCCAAATGGCCACATACACATCCATCAGCTACATCCAGGATACTGGTCCGTTAAACAAACTCCAAACTATTTCAGACCAGGCCACATCCTGTCACCGAAAGGCCCCTCTCCGGTAAATGAAAGAGGGGACGGCGCTCCCGGCGTATAGAGGTCAGAGTCCGTATCCGACTCCCCCTCGGCCAGATAAGGTCTGAGACGGGTGCACAGTGTCCCGCCGCCTCCACCAGAAAGCCCCAGACTCACCGGAGGTACATAATCCTCTTCCCTGGCCTGAGAAATGCTAAAGCCGCTAAAAGAGCGCTCCAGTTCCTCATGGTCCACTGAGGGAATGGAGAAGGACGTGTCGCTCTCGACGGCCACCTGCTGCTGGACGGGTCTTCTGGACCTACGTGAGCGGCTGCTGTCCCCGATCTCATGGAACGGCGGAGGCGGGAGGCGGTACAGCGAGGGGATGTCAGTGCCTATTGGCGAAACTCCTCGGCTGTTGTTCCAGAGAGGCACACTGAGGGGATGGTCATCCTGCTGATGCCATGAGGTAGAGGGCCGACATTGGCTATTGGTGGGAGTCCCGTTGGGACCAGGATGGACAGGGGACACACTCTTTTTATTCTCGTCCTGTGCTTTCTCGCTCTTATCGTCAGGGCTGTGGTAGGGAGGAGCAGGGTAAGGGATTTTAAAGCCTAGGAGGGCTTCGGTCTCAGATCGTGGGATGCCCATATGCGTGGTGTACATGCTGACCAAAAAGTTGAGTTTGAGGTCCATTGCCCCCACCTGCACAAGGAGAGACAGCGAGGCCCTTTAGCACTGACATATATATTCTTAAAAATAAAAGTTCTAAAAGGGGGTTTACACATAGAAGAACCATTATTGGTTCCTTAAAGGGGTCATCGGATGCGAAATGCACTTTTACATGTTGTTTAAACATAAATGTGTGTTGGCAGTGTGTACACAACCACCCTATAATGATAAAAATCCACCCAGTGTTTTTTTTTTTTAAATATAGATAAATCCAAACCCCTTTCTCAAATCAAGCCAATCTCAGATTCCTGCCTATGTGACGTCACACAGACCCAGGCCCCTCCCACGATTGTTGATTGACAGTGGCGTCAGTCTTTGGTTTTATCACAGCTCCGCCCTGAGTGAGCTGTCAACAGTCCGCTATTGTTTCGATGCCGGAGTGGTTGTAGACAAGAATGTCTCGCAAGCGATTGAGGTGTTTTGTTGTTGGATGTAATAATGAACATAGCAGTCGTCATTTACTCCCGACATCTGAGCCGCTGAAGACGCAGAGGATTATGTTTGCTTTTGAAGGGAATGCGCCCCCGATCTACCTAAATGCGTCTATGTTCGTGTAATTCATTTAAGCTTCACCTCCAGAAGAAGTGAGTATAAGGTTTTTATATGAATCTTTGCAAATTGCCTTTCCTAATAATGTGCTAGTTAGCAAGTTTCACGACAAATGCGGCTAAAGTTTATCGTCTCTCAGAGAGCGGCTCGGAAGAGAGGGGCGGGGGGAGCAGCGCTCATTAGCATTTAAAGCGGCATGCAACTAAACGGCTTGCTCTGAAAAGAGCTGTTTTTGACAGGGTAAAAAGGATGTTGCTTTACACTACAATTAAGAAATTTTAACCAAAGTATGTTACAGACTTTTTATTAAGACCCTAAAGAATCATATCAACTTGTGGAAAATTGGAATCCGATGACCCCTTTAAAGAACCTTTCAGTAAACAGCTCTTAAAAGAAACATTTTCTTTCTAATGGTGTGTGTACACCAAACACGAAGCGAAAATTCTCATTGCATTATCGCTCTAGATTACTTGCGGGATGTTTTTTGTGTCACCCGTGTGAATAAAAACATGCCGTAATGCTCTCCTCCATTTTCTGATACAACCGGACATGTCAAAAAGCTCTTTGCTGATTGGTTTGCGCGAAAACACGTCATGCGAATTTTCCACTTAAGTTGAAATTTTTCAACTTGCGTGTACAGATTTTTGTTTTCACTATAAAGAATGTTCTGTGGAATGGAAAGGTTCCATGGATGTTAAAGGTTCTTTATGGAACCATAGATTCTAATAAAGAACCTTTATTTTAAGAGTGTACGGTGCTACACCAAATGAACTTGATGTAACATGCTTCACCTGCTTTTCCATCTTGTTCAGACGTCCCATCATGCTTGGGTCCTCAGCCATCTCCGTGTCGCTTTTGGGCTTGTCCTTTTCTCCTGCCACGGCTCCCTTTCCCACAATCTTTAACCACATCTAGAGAGATTAATCTTCCTCCTTTTTACTAGGAAAAGTGATACATTTGCAGATGTATGTGGTCTCTGGGCCCTACAGGAAACCTGTACAAACAAGTGCTTTCAATGTAAAACTGACCTGGAAAAACAAAACAAATAAATACAACTGATACATTTTCAATTTCTTCATCCCTGACTAGATCTGACTGCAGTTGAAGGGACTTTCTTTTATTGTTATCTCATTTGTCATCCTATTAGGTTGTCAACAAGCTATATTCCATAAACATGCCATGCAGTTAATGTATTTTTAGGTCTGATTTTTATTCAGTGCCTTCTTCACTACAGCATAAAACATGATATCATAGTGCAGGTTACCAACTCTAGAAAATGAAAACTGATTGCATACAATAGCATGGATATTTCTCCTCTGATCATCACCCGGGTTCCTGCAGATATTAATAGTTCCTCCAAAAGTATGTGTCTATCTCCGTAAGTGTTTTGACTTTAATTGTAGCTATAAAAAATTAATTCATCTTTCCATCCTACAGATAAGAAATGTAAGAGGGAAAAAGTACCTGTAAGGCATGCTCAGCTTTCTGCCGTCTTTTTCTTTGGCTGCAATTATTTTCTCCAAAGGAACCATTCAATTTAAAATGTTCATTAAATGCTTACTATGAACACATGCCCTGACTAACTACTCGTTTTCATAACAGTCTCATAACGCATTTCAGGAAAAGACAATGTAAATAAATAAATATCTTATGAATTAAAATGACAGTTTTAAGGTAAAGTGCATTTGATACTGCATTAGCTGTGGTGACTATGCAAAGTAATAAAGAAGAGGTGCCTTTTTTGATTTGAAGATCCATGCCAGTAATTGAATACACACAATCTTTTCCGCTTGTGAACGCACACATCCTTAGCCTCCGTGTTTTTAAAAAAAAATTTTATGTTTATGATTCATTCTCGCTGCTGTGGCATCAATGCAGTCGGTAATCACTCCCACATTTTTGTTTTTCGACATTGAAAACGATTCACTCTATCAAGTCCAAATGGCCACATACACATCCATCAGCTACATCCAGGATACTGGTCCGTTAAACAAACTCCAAACTATTTCAGACCAGGCCACATCCTGTCACCGAAAGGCCCCTCTCCGGTAAATGAAAGAGGGGACGGCGCTCCCGGCGTATAGAGGTCAGAGTCCGTATCCGACTCCCCCTCGGCCAGATAAGGTCTGAGACGGGTGCACAGTGTCCCGCCGCCTCCACCAGAAAGCCCCAGACTCACCGGAGGTACATAATCCTCTTCCCTGGCCTGAGAAATGCTAAAGCCGCTAAAAGAGCGCTCCAGTTCCTCATGGTCCACTGAGGGAATGGAGAAGGACGTGTCGCTCTCGACGGCCACCTGCTGCTGGACGGGTCTTCTGGACCTACGTGAGCGGCTGCTGTCCCCGATCTCATGGAACGGCGGAGGCGGGAGGCGGTACAGCGAGGGGATGTCAGTGCCTATTGGCGAAACTCCTCGGCTGTTGTTCCAGAGAGGCACACTGAGGGGATGGTCATCCAGCTGATGCCATGAGGTAGAGGGCCGACATTGGCTATTGGTGGGAGTCCCGTTGGGACCAGGATGGACAGGGGACACACTCTTTTTATTCTCGTCCTGTGCTTTCTCGCTCTTATCGTCAGGGCTGTGGTAGGGAGGAGCAGGGTAAGGGATTTTAAAGCCTAGGAGGGCTTCGGTCTCAGATCGTGGGATGCCCATATGCGTGGTGTACATGCTGACCAAAAAGTTGAGTTTGAGGTCCATTGCCCCCACCTGCACAAGGAGAGACAGCGAGGCCCTTTAGCACTGACATATATATTCTTAAAAATAAAAGTTCTAAAAGGGGGTTTACACATAGAAGAACCATTATTGGTTCCTTAAAGGGGTCATCGGATGCGAAATGCACTTTTACATGTTGTTTAAACATAAATGTGTGTTGGCAGTGTGTACACAACCACCCTATAATGATAAAAATCCCCCCAGTGTTTTTTTTTTTTAAATATAGATAAATCCAAACCCCTTTCTCAAATCAAGCCAATCTCAGATTCCTGCCTATGTGACGTCACACAGACCCAGGCCCCTCCCACGATTGTTGATTGACAGTGGCGTCAGTCTTTGGTTTTATCACAGCTCCGCCCTGAGTGAGCTGTCAACAGTCCGCTATTGTTTCGATGCCGGAGTGGTTGTAGACAAGAATGTCTCGCAAGCGATTGAGGTGTTTTGTTGTTGGATGTAATAATGAACATAGCAGTCGTCATTTACTCCCGACATCTGAGCCGCTGAAGACGCAGAGGATTATGTTTGCTTTTGAAGGGAATGCGCCCCCGATCTACCTAAATGCGTCTATGTTCGTGTAATTCATTTAAGCTTCACCTCCAGAAGAAGTGAGTATAAGGTTTTTATATGAATCTTTGCAAATTGGTGCACAGTGTCCCGCCGCCTCCACCAGAAAGCCCCAGACTCACCGGAGGTACATAATCCTCTTCCCTGGCCTGAGAAATGCTAAAGCCGCTAAAAGAGCGCTCCAGTTCCTCATGGTCCACTGAGGGAATGGAGAAGGACGTGTCGCTCTCGACGGCCACCTGCTGCTGGACGGGTCTTCTGGACCTACGTGAGCGGCTGCTGTCCCCGATCTCATGGAACGGCGGAGGCGGGAGGCGGTACAGCGAGGGGATGTCAGTGCCTATTGGCGAAACTCCTCGGCTGTTGTTCCAGAGAGGCACACTGAGGGGATGGTCATCCAGCTGATGCCATGAGGTAGAGGGCCGACATTGGCTATTGGTGGGAGTCCCGTTGGGACCAGGATGGACAGGGGACACACTCTTTTTATTCTCGTCCTGTGCTTTCTCGCTCTTATCGTCAGGGCTGTGGTAGGGAGGAGCAGGGTAAGGGATTTTAAAGCCTAGGAGGGCTTCGGTCTCAGATCGTGGGATGCCCATATGCGTGGTGTACATGCTGACCAAAAAGTTGAGTTTGAGGTCCATTGCCCCCACCTGCACAAGGAGAGACAGCGAGGCCCTTTAGCACTGACATATATATTCTTAAAAATAAAAGTTCTAAAAGGGGGTTTACACATAGAAGAACCATTATTGGTTCCTTAAAGGGGTCATCGGATGCGAAATGCACTTTTACATGTTGTTTAAACATAAATGTGTGTTGGCAGTGTGTACACAACCACCCTATAATGATAAAAATCCACCCAGTGTTTTTTTTTTTTAAATATAGATAAATCCAAACCCCTTTCTCAAATCAAGCCAATCTCAGATTCCTACCTATGTGACGTCACACAGACCCAGGCCCCTCCCACGATTGTTGATTGACAGTGGCGTCAGTCTTTGGTTTTATCACAGCTCCGCCCTGAGTGAGCTGTCAACAGTCCGCTATTGTTTCGATGCCGGAGTGGTTGTAGACAAGAATGTCTCGCAAGCGATTGAGGTGTTTTGTTGTTGGATGTAATAATGAACATAGCAGTCGTCATTTACTCCCGACATCTGAGCCGCTGAAGACGCAGAGGATTATGTTTGCTTTTGAAGGGAATGCGCCCCCGATCTACCTAAATGCGTCTATGTTCGTGTAATTCATTTAAGCTTCACCTCCAGAAGAAGTGAGTATAAGGTTTTTATATGAATCTTTGCAAATTGCCTTTCCTAATAATGTGCTAGTTAGCAAGTTTCACGACAAATGCGGCTAAAGTTTATCGTCTCTCAGAGAGCGGCTCGGAAGAGAGGGGCGGGGGGAGCAGCGCTCATTAGCATTTAAAGCGGCATGCAACTAAACGGCTTGCTCTGAAAAGAGCTGTTTTTGACAGGGTAAAAAGGATGTTGCTTTACACTACAATTAAGAAATTTTAACCAAAGTATGTTACAGACTTTTTATTAAGACCCTAAAGAATCATATCAACTTGTGGAAAATTGGAATCCGATGACCCCTTTAAAGAACCTTTCAGTAAACAGCTCTTAAAAGAAACATTTTCTTTCTAATGGTGTGTGTACACCAAACACGAAGCGAAAATTCTCATTGCATTATCGCTCTAGATTACTTGCGGGATGTTTTTTGTGTCACCCGTGTGAATAAAAACATGCCGTAATGCTCTCCTCCATTTTCTGATACAACCGGACATGTCAAAAAGCTCTTTGCTGATTGGTTTGCGCGAAAACACGTCATGCGAATTTTCCACTTAAGTTGAAATTTTTCAACTTGCGTGTACAGATTTTTGTTTTCACTATAAAGAATGTTCTGTGGAATGGAAAGGTTCCATGGATGTTAAAGGTTCTTTATGGAACCATAGATTCTAATAAAGAACCTTTATTTTAAGAGTGTACGGTGCTACACCAAATGAACTTGATGTAACATGCTTCACCTGCTTTTCCATCTTGTTCAGACGTCCCATCATGCTTGGGTCCTCAGCCATCTCCGTGTCGCTTTTGGGCTTGTCCTTTTCTCCTGCCACGGCTCCCTTTCCCACAATCTGATCCACTCTAGTGATCCAATAGACCATCACTTCGACACATAGTCAATACACCCTCATCCACACTGAGATTCAGTGGTTAACTGTGCACTGTACCTTGTCAAGTTAACAGAAATTAGCTTTATGGAGGAGAACTCAAGCATGCGAATGCAAACATAGGACAGCAGGGTTGAAATAAGAGGGAAGATGATTGAAGCCTGATTTGCTGAAAGTGAGTATATGCCATATTGCATGCTCCATGCAATACTGCAAAGTTTTTAATCAGTATGCATTCATCAGGGACTTGGGACTTCAAAAATCAAGATGACTCTTGGAATCTTGGAAAGTGACTCTTTCAAAGCTGCAGCATTACACTAAGATGAACAATACTCACAATACTGCAGTACACTGTAGCACAATACACATCTGAGTGTTTTTGCAAAGTTATTGACAGCAGTGTTGGGGAGAAACTAACTAAAAATGAAGAAAAAACTCACTTAACTACATTTTTCAGTATGGAAATCTGATTATTCTAGTGAATCATTTATCCTAAAAGGCCTCATCTATCAAGTGTGATTCTTTCAAATATGGCGGCACGCACTGTAGCCTGTATCATTTTATATTAAAGCGCTTCACATTCAGCAGCGGCAGCTCTTAAAGTAATAGCAGCCAAATACCCTAATAACCCAGCTGCTGTGGCGTCTGTTAATCAAAGAACAAAAGGAAAAATAGGAAATCAATAACTTTTGTAGGTTTATGGATTCATCTATATTTAATTAAGAATTTAGTGTTGATACCTTTATTCAATTTCTGTATATTTCCTACTTGCTGAAGGGCACAGGTAAATATGACATTTATTATAATGGGTTTATGTGAAGATTGTTTTAAATTCACTTAAATTATAAGTTTAAATTTAAAAAAAATCTAAATTATACTGTAATGTTAGTATAGTCAACATTACATATAATCAATGGTTAAATATTAGGGAAATAAGAAATAAGAGTAGTGTTGGTATCAGTGATACTCTCCTTCAGTCATAAAAAGATGCCACTAAACAAATATTAAAAATATAATGTCTTTATGTTGTTTCTACATTAATTTGAAGATTGATTGTATAATTATTGCAATATAAAGGTATATTTTAAAACTTTAACTTTAGATGGGATTAATCGCAATTAATCGTGACTAATTTCAGAAAAAAATGTGCGATTAATTAGTTATTTTTTTAATTGATTGACAGCACTAATATATATATATATATTTTATATTTTATTTTATGTTGCCCTTTTCAGCCCTTTATGCCTTATATAGAATTGGTTAGAATCTTTTTGTTTTGTTATAGTTAATTAAAACTTAAACTTTAGTAAAACTGAAAATGAAATAAAAATAAAATTTAAATAAATGTATTATTTAATTACATTTATAAAAAAAAGCACAATGAAATTACAAAACAAAAATGGTTCAACCAAACATATAAAAATAAAAGCTAATTCTAAATTTTAAAGCTACAATAGTATATAAATACTAAAATAACTAATAGTAAAATAACACTGTCTGAATCTATCAAGCAAAATCTGTTCAATTAGTTGGTTTATGTAAATTAATAATAAAATAGCTTCATCAATTCAAGTGCCTGCGCTGCATATTTGGTCTACTTTTTTTATAACAGAATATTTAGTTAAATGGTGTTGTTAGTTATTATTTGTATACAAAATAAATTAATAATAATAATAATAATATAGTTTGGTACTGTCATCTTAATTGAGATTCATATTCATTTGTTCAAAAATCCAGCAAATTATATCATCAGAAAGAATTTGCGCCCTTAAAGTAGCTTCCCAACAATGTTAGTCAGACATACTGCATCAATGGCAGGGAATTTGACTTACAAAATAAATAATGTGGGGAAACAAATGAAAAATAATCCAAAAATGTCACCGGGTTCCATGCCTTATGATGCTTTGTGTGTTACACACTGTACGTTTAAGTTATTCTCTCTTCTTTAAACCCTGGAACAACATGCACAACTGCATCTGTCCCCCGTTAAACAGGCTGCATGGTCACACCATAGTGTGTTGAATTATTGTGCAGCAAAAACACTTTTTATTAATCATAAATTAACTTTTCAGATGCTCATTATGGATAATTATATCTATCCAAAATGTAAATCTTTCTCAAGGTGAACATAGAATAACCAATCAAGAAACAATCCAACCAGTTAGTGACAAGTTTTCCCTCATGATTTCAGTCATTTAAAGGGGTCATATGATGCGATTTAAATTTTTCCTTTCTCTTTGGAGAGTTACAAGCTCTTGGTGCATAAAGAAGATCTGTAAAGTTGCAAAGACTAAAGTCTCAAATCCAAAGAGATATTCTTTATAAAAGTTAAGAGTCAGCCACGCCTACCTAAAACGGCTCGTTCAGTTTTACACTTTACTTTAACTCCCCCACATGTCTACGTCACGATGTGGGAAGATTTGCATAACGCCACCCAAATGTTCACACAAACAAAGAAGTCGTAGCTTTTATTCTCGCTGTAGTATTGTTGTTGCCACCGCCATGTCGTGAAGACACTGTGTGTTTCGTTGTGAAAGCTAAACTACTTTGTTTGGTCTTCCAAAAGAGGACGATATCGCTTTGTCATGCCTGGAGCTGATCCGTGCTGGTCGCTGAGGAAATACTTCAACTTTACGCTGTGGATCGCCGGATGGGCTTTCACCGTAGATGAAGCGGAGTCCAGCCCGGAGTCATCACATGTCTTTCCGGACGCTCCTTCGTCGAAATTGCCGGCCGTGCCGTTCTCAAGTGCGCCGCCTCTGCTCACTCTAACCCTCCCGCCGTTCCTCACGTTAGCCGCCGGCCTCTGCTCACTGCAGGCCCCCGATGCGGCGCGATGCAACGCAGCGTGTACAAAGACAGTATAAGTCATTATAATCCATAATTATGTCCCCACTGGATGCAACGAATGCCTCGTTTATTATGGGTTTTCATGTTTTTGAATCATAGCTCCGGTCTGACAGGGCATCATCACAGTATGGTAAGGTGCGTAACATTTCCGTCACACGCTTAAGGTATTCGGCCAATCATAACGCACTGGATAGCTGGCCAATCACAGCACACCTCGCTTTTTCAGACCGATGAGCTTTGTAAAAATCGACGCGTTTCAGAAAGGCGGGGCATAGAGGAGAAACAATAATGTACAGTATGTGGAAATAATGTGTTTTTTGAACCTTAAACCGCATAAACACATTTCCTTACACCAAATACACAAAAGAATGTTATTTTTAGCAGCATCATATGACCCCTTTAATTGTCATGACACTGCAGTTTTTAATCCATTGCTGTCCAATAATAAACCCATTCAGCCTGGGAAAGCTAATGGTGAATGATTACGTACTTCTTGTGACGAGGGGTCGAGGGGGGAGGGGGACCCACAATCAAATCTATCCTGGCAAAGTACACAGAGAGAACATGGATACCAAGCATCATCAAGCAACACATGGAAACCACTCCCTGTACCCCAGTGAGGACCGTTGACAAATAAGAAAGAATATATTCCATACATGTCTGTTCTCACCCACTTCTAGGAACAGTGTCTCATGTTTACATGTATGACAGAAATGGTTTTGGCTGTTGGAATATATTGGTATATGTGTGGATGTAATTTCACAACATATATGAGGCTTATTTGAGAGAAAAGGAGTGAAACTGAATTCAAATAATTTTGAATGTGACACAAAAAATAAAACCACTGTGAATGTGATTTTGATCGAGCAGTGTTGAAATCTCATCCTGCTTTAGACTTTTTAATCTTTCTGTAATACCAAATAGTGACCACCAGAGGGTGCTGCTCACAATTCAGCTACAGCTCTTGCCAAATACTGATTGACTACTGAAGCAGGTGGATCCTGTCATTGTTAGGTTACCGCAATGGTGAAAACTTTGTGATGTGATTCTTCTGTTCTAGACAGACTGAAGTCTTGCCTGGACTGAAGGTTTTTGATGCGTGACAGCATGTCCAGATGGCCTGCTGAATACTGCTCTATCACATCCATCACATCATAAGGCCTGAGGCTCTCTTTAAATCTCCTCTTAGACACCAGGAACCGCATAATACTGGGGAAGACCAAATAAGACTTTAATTAGGGTGTAACATATCTGACAATTTTCAAAGCAATACTTATAGAATTTAAAGGGGTCATGAACTGAGAAATCAAAATTCCCTTGATCTTTCGAGATGTCATTGTGCTATAAAAACATTCTGTACGTTTCAGAACTCAAAACTTTCTCGTTAGTCTAAAAACAGCTTATTTTGAAGCCAATCTGCCAAAATGACAGGTTGTGCCACTTTATGATGTAATAGTGTTGATAAGCACCGCCTCCACAGAAGATCAACACCTGCCTCTACATCACTGTCTGTTTAGCCCCGCCCACCGATTTGTGCGCATAATAGGTAAATGACAAGAGTAGCAAATGCAGGTCTATGCAGAAACAAAACGATAAACTTTATTTGATGAACTTCATTTTCAAACAGAACGTTCTGATGAGGGGGGTTAAAAACAGTACAGAAAATAGCCTATTACTTCTAAATTATAATTGTTTTTTGATATAAAAATCTTGATAACATAAGTGGACATCAGAGAACAGTACAAAATAAAAACAGGCAGTTCATGAGCCCTTTAATAAACATTTGATAGTCCCAGCAGTTAAATTACTGTTTTCAGCATTTTTTAATAATTATTATTAATTAAAAAATAAAATATATGCATAAATATTTCATTATTTAACAATTGTGATTTAAAAAAAAGTTTTATTCTGTTTTTAACAATAATTGTAATTATACTGAATTGTTGTGAGAGCAAATATTTATACCTCTAGTCTTTTTTAGCCCAGAGATTGGTGCCTCTTACCAGATTGCTCTGATGGTGACCTTGAGTCCCGGAGACAGATCTGGCGCAAACTCAGAGTGGAAACCTCGGTCATCCCCAAAATCTTCTGGAAGACTTGCCTCTACAACACACAAAACAACAGGCTGCTCCCAATGTAAAGAGTCCTAATGTTAACAAAGAACAGTCCTGTGACAAGATCAAATATTACAGAAAACATCTGCAGAGTATTACAGAGACATGCTCGATAAACTGCACTCCACAGTATACAACAGTTAGTTCCAGTTCTTGAATTCGATTGGCTGAGCAGCGTTCCAAGAGTGATATTTACAGTAGTCCAACAGCACTGTGACTTTTCACTGTTAGTATCACTCTGCCTGTCTGCATTCCCACCGTTCTCGACCAGAGTATCAAGTTGAAGTTGTGTGAAGTTTCTTGAACTAACAACTTATTTACAGAGCTGTTGTATAAAATCAATATCACACTTGCAAATGATGATGTTGTTCTGAATATCAGCATGACTGTAGGAATGAGACTTTGCCCAGCTATGCTGAAATGCAGTACAATAGTTGCTCATGTGATATTGCTAGAGTAAAACCCATCATAGATCATCGCACAGGTTTGAAACGACATAAGGGTGAGTAAATGACGACAATTTCAATTTTAGTGAGAACTGTCCTTTTAAAAGCACATGGAATCAGAGTATGCCCTTGAGTAAGGCACTTAAATCACAAATTACCCCAAAGTGACTTTCCTTGGAAAAAAGTAAATGCTATATGACTAGTGAGATTTTCCAAAAATGTAAATTAATTTATTCCACACTTCAGAAGTGCTCAGGGGAAAAGAATTAGATGAAAAAGAGTTGAGCACGGTCAAATTTCTGCGGCTGTGAAACTGATATCCCTCCTAATATGTCGGCATTAGTCAGAAGCTTCAGGCATGCTTTAATATTTATGTGCATTTGGAGCTGAAACAACAGTGTTACTCATGCATGAAGCACTTACCAGAACCTGCTAGCCTGAGCATTTACTGCAATAGCACATGTGAGAGAAAAGTTTGTGCACCTAACAAAATCTAACAAATTTCAACCCCCTGAAAAATGCTGGTTAACATGTAAAGCTGGGACAAACAAGCTTAAATATTAGTACTACATGTGTCATCTTTATGCCATATGAATGAGGATGTGACAGCCGAAAAAGCATATCCTATTCAAATGACAGTAACAACCAGCTAGTCAAAACTGCACAAGACCGATTTCTGGAAACAAACTTGTTTCCTTCATAAGCGGAGAAATTCTTTCATGCAAGTTAGTGCAAAGTACTTGATGGAAAGTGTAAGTTGCAAAGTGTTTCATTAACACCTTCATTGAACACATTCTGTCATGGGATGAGCGTGAGACTGATATCCAGGCTGAGACAAATGAGTAACATCTTCTTTGCTATACTGTCGCACTTCACCGTCATATGGTTGACAGATAAGGCTAATATAGCTGCTGTAAAAACTATCCAAGCATCAGAGAAGGAATTCATATTTTGCGTGCTGCTTCAAGTGAGATGAAACTTTCAGCCAAGCGTTCATGACAGAGAGTGTTGGATGATGGGCAGATCTGTAAAGATATGCTGCAGCTTGGTAATTAAGGAGCCATTTTTAAAACATGCATAGTGTTTCTTTAGCAGACTGGTGTTGAGATTTTTTTTGGACTAGTGCTAAAGAGATGCAGCCCCAGACAACATAATTTGTCTTACTGATTAAGCCCTCAATTGCTGCCGAAATGTGAAGAGAAAAAGAGAAAATGTGAAAGATAGAGAGAAAGAAATAGAGAGAGATGGTCAAAGATGACAATGACTTCAACCATGCAACTGTATAACACATGGTGTCGCTTATATTAGGCTTATTTTACATTATATATATTAGGCTTATTTTACATTATAAATGGGGGATATTTGCTTGCACATCATTATAAAGCACTTTCCGTGAAAACGATATACTTCAATGTCCAATGACTTAAAAAAAACAAAAAACATTAGAGGTACAAATCCCATGTTTTTTTTTAAAGAACTTTTAGATGGGTTAGTTAAACTATCAAGTAACATAACGATAATCTAGCATGGAAAGAAGCAAGTTGTAAACATATCAAATATCTGTAACCCTCCATTAAAATGGTGATTTTAGCCCACCTCAAATGTCTTGACTGTAACCATAAAAATCATACAAAAATGTCCTAATTTAAGCAATTTGTTGAATTGGTATTCAATTTATTGTAGTAAAGAACAATTTTAATTTAGTATTATAAACTATTAAATAATTTTAAATTATTACATTTAATTAAAAAATATATATTATTTCTTAAAATTAGGGAACACAAGAAATAATATTATATGGACCATTTATGGTAAGGTGAGTAGACAATAAATAAATAATGATTCATGCTTTTTTTTAATTTTGCAAATAGTGTTTTGACTGCATTCAACATTTTTTAATTAAGCTACATTTTCAACCCTGTTATTTGTTCAAATACTCATTGTGGCATACCTATTATTATTTTTAATCAATTATTTACAATCAATATATGAATGTATTTGTTTTTTATGTTTGTTGCTAGTAAATAACAAAAGCACACATTTTAGAATTTGAAAAAGTGTTTTATTTATTTAAATTTCTAAATTTTAATATTAGGGCTGACAAAATGGCAAACCTTATAGAAACTGAATTGGACAGAATATGTTGTTTGGCTTTTTTATACCGTATTCATGGAAAACCCCCAAAATTGTATGATTCAGGAACTGAAATCTATTTCTCGTATTGCTTATGCTGTGGTGTCACTGCTACATAAGATATTTATACAAATTAATTTAGCTGAGGTCTTTGATACTGTTTGTTATTTATCAAACATAATATTTTGTCATTTCTACCAGGTGGCCTTTGTGAGAGCAGTTATTGCTGCATTGCCGTGCTTACAGATTCTGATTAAATATAGTCTACTTCTAAGAGAAACTGCTCTGTCATCTCTGTACTTTTTGGATCATATTTCTGGATCATGGCCTAACCTGGAGAACTCTTCATGGCGAAGTCCTCATCTTGCAACTCAATCAGCACTTTATTTTTTCCAGTAGAGAGAAATGAGAGAGAAACCGGTGAGTGTGCAGGAAGTGAAATACAGAAAATGGATCCATTTATATATATATATATATTTTTTTTTAAGTTGAGCACTGCAGAGTTATGCCAAGAGCATAAAACAAGTGATGAGAGTAACACAAAGGGGCGAATTCACTAAACAACTGTGACACTGTAGCGAGCTGTATTTTAGCGCAAAAAACTACATCTCATTCACTAACCACCCAAAATGCAGTTCCAGGGCAAATCAGCAAATGCTCCTGTGCAAATTTCATTTAGCGTGAAATCTTCAGGCGCTTTTTGGATCATATTTCTGGATCATGGCCTAACCTGGAGAACTCTTCATGGCGAAGTCCTCATCTTGCAACTCAATCAGCACTTTATTTTTTCCAGTAGAGAGAAATGAGAGAGAAACCGGTGAGTGTGCAGGAAGTGAAATACAGAAAATGGATCCATTTATATATATATATATATTTTTTTTTTAAGTTGAGCACTGCAGAGTTATGCCAAGAGCATAAAACAGGTGATGAGAGTAACACAAAGGGGCGAATTCACTAAACAACTGTGACACTGTAGCGAGCTGTATTTTAGCGCAAAAAACTACATCTCATTCACTAACCACCCAAAATGCAGTTTAACTGACAGTCTTTCCAGGGCAAATCAGCAAATGCTCCTGTGCAAATTTCATTTAGCGTGAAATCTTCAGGCATTTACACTGTTGCCTGATTTGCAGTTCCTATCGTGAATCAGATACTAAACAATACAAATACAGTAGCATGTGCAAAAAAACAACACTATCAGCAGATGCAATTCATTCTTAGTGAATTCCCCCAAAAGCATTTTCACCGTGAATGAACTATTTTGTGGGGATCAAGCATCTAAGGGCATATAAACCCGCTCCTACAGTTACTGCAACTAAAAAGTCACAAATGGTACAGCATCAACAAGCATCTTTAGACATTAATACAATGTTCCAATGCAAAACATGCCACTTTCACGTGTTTCAGCAAGGGGACTAAACCTATGAAACACAGATCAGTTCTTCTTTTGGGCTGTTTCTTTAAATAGAAACTCGCACTTGCTGTCTTATAAATTCTAATGAATGGACTGTTACTGATCTTTTGTGCTATGACACATTAAGCAATCTAGTGTGGCATCTGGTTCTGTGCCAGGAAATTACAAACTATGCTTGCTAGCTGCTGAAGTCTCACTCAAAAAAAAGAAGAAAAGAAACCTATGCAAAGCAAGTATTGTAATGTACAGGTGAATGTATGTTTGGACGCAGCATATACTTTGCACTCAGAATAACAGAGTGTGTATTCCAATAATTGTGAGTGTGTGTGCGCATAACAACATTCTCTGACCTTCAGAGTTCTGCCGAGAAGCCCCATCTTTCATTCTGAAAGCGTGTTTTGCTTTGTTCCGCTCTGTGAAGCTCAAGCTCTTGGTCACTTTGCTTGGACTCTCTTTGACTCCCTCCTCTGGCTTGAGGGTCTTGGCTTCCTTCCCCCCGGTGCTCTTAGAGGGACTGCCTTTCTCTTTCAAGCTGGGCTTACGGCTGCGCAGCAGACACAATGAAGCACAAAAGACAAACAAAAAAAAGCAAAGGAAACAAGACAAATCATCCTGAGCCCACACTTATAAGTATTTTTCCAGTGTGGGGACAGAAACCATCCAGTGCTAAAAAGAAAATACTCAGTAAATTATATTAATGACCATACACTGCAAAAAAAGTTATTTTGTATGTTTAGCACTCTGGCATTGAAATTAATAATTAATACATTTTTGTAAGATTTATGCATTAAACAATAAAAAAATAAAATAAATTGGTGCTAATAAAAAAAAAAAACTGAATTCAGGACATATTCTCCACTGTATATAAATCTATACCTTTTTAAAATTATATTATTATACAGAAATATATATGTATTTGTTTTTGCTTGACAGTTTACGTCACTAAATAGGAGTCCATTCTGCACATCAGTACAAGTCTATCGCTCAGTACAAAATAAATAAACAAACAAATAAATACATTACAATAATACATAAAAATTTACATTAAAAACTAAAACTAAGTGCAGATGGATTTCATCAAAAGCAAATGGTTAAACAGCTAAAAGAATTTTTACTAGAAAACGTATTACTGTTTACTGATCTATTATTTTCATAATTATTCTTGTTTGCATGTTACAGCTTATAGAAATTATTAAAAGAACAGCACAGTCACATATTTACTGATATTTAAATGTTGCTATAGAAATGTTCAGCTGAAGCCACCAAAAAGAAAACACTGAAATGTAATAAATAATTGCTTAAAATGACAGTTCTGTACATTTCTAAAATGACTGAAACATGTAACCTGCAAGCAATTTCACAACTGTACATTAAAACACATTTTAATTCCTTAGCAAACACTGAATGTATCGTTTCTGCATTCTTCTATTTTAATAAAGATCAGACTTGCATGGGCAAAGATATGGATAATGGTGCTTCTCAGTCATGCAATGCAATCCACAACTTCCGGATGCAACAACAGACCCACATGCTGCCACAGCGGAAACTTTTGAACAACAAAGCAATGAAACACATGCATGCTGTCGGGCATGCTGAAAAAATACATAACTGTTATATTAAACACCTTTTAAAAAACAGCCAAATGAATAAATGAAAAAGTGAGAGACCCCAATACAACACAAGGCAGCTTGCAGAGGAGGATGGTCTCGTGGGATTGAGGTAAAAAGCCATGGGAAGTGCTTCCTGGTGCTAAGTGGGAAAGTTGATCCGCAGGCAAAACTCTCTCACAAAGCGAAACAAATGTCTGCTTCTCTGGTTCGAACAAGACAACATTTTTAGATGCTGGAGAGCAGAACATTTCTCAGCCCACCTGAGCTGACGAGAGATTCAAATACTTCAACACCGATACGAATGTGCACTATGCTGTATGTCTCAAAAAATGTTGAAATATTTCACTTGAGCTGATGATGGTACACACTGAAGGAATACATTTAGAAATAAGGGGGAAATCAAAGTCAGGAAGGAAAAAGACAAATTCAAATGCTGGAGAGAGAGAGAGAGATCTGGGCGTGCAGATGTTAGTATCTGTGTGCAACGGTACCTATTGCTTCTCGGGCAGCACCCACACAGGGTGTCTTTGTGTGAAATCTCACTACTGCGAATGTGGTTGGAGTGGGTCATGAGAGAGAAAAGATTATACAAGCAGCGGTCAAAAATGGTTTAGGCCATGTCCAAGTGTAGGACCTAAAATCAGAGGTATTTCCCCCCCTAAACCCCCCAAAAACAGCCAACAGAGTTTGAGCTAGGTGTTGTTACACTGAATGAAATGAACTGAATGAGTCATAGGTTGCACTTGATTTTACAGGATTACAATAGCAGGTCTTTTACAGAGCAGAACACCAAAGTGTGATTGTTTTCTTTAATGAGATGTTCGTTCCTTTAAACTGCATTGATTATGTTGTGCCAGTTTATCTCCCTGTAAATACCACTTGAAGATACTGTAGTATAAAGTGCAACCAGGTTGTCTTTGAATAACATTTGTGATTTCAAATGATTGCAAATACAGCAATACGGGCTGTTTTCTCATTTGAAGAACGATTATGGTGATCTGAAACTACGATTCTCTATGCGTTTGAATGAGTTTTTGACTGACGTGATTTGGGAATAGTCAAGTTTCTATGGAAAAATCCAGGACAACAAACCTTGGAGTCACTTCTAGCTGTGAGTCCTTCCTTCAGAAAAAGAGAAGCAATAAAGACATGAGATTAAAGCAGGCAACACCACAAACAAACATTTTAAACAGGAATAACATTCACAAATACAGGGAAGTTCGAAAGGCAGAGCGATTTAATGAAAATTCTGCCTTTCTTTTTTTCATTTTTTCCATTCTTTTCTAATATATTTTGATTATTATATTATCAGCATAACAATTTGAGTGAAAATTATTAGCATTTCAGCTGCGTAAACTACAAGTTTGTGTAAAGCCTTATGTTCTCAAGCATGATGTGATATAAAGAGCACTGGAGGCAAAAAAACATCTGACCATGTGTACAAAGAGTCACATAATCAATCACTTTGATTAATGAGCTAGAAATAGTGCTGAATCTGAAGAATTTCTTCTGCATTAAGTCATTAACTTTTCTTTGTTGCACAAGATTTAAAACATTTGATTATTTACAGATTTTCAATGTGGTCTCAGACTTTAGACCCCTCTTAGATATGATAATTCTAATATTATTTACAATGATATTTTAATATTTTAAATGCTCTTTAGTAAAATGACCAGACCTGAAACCAGATTTTCCCTTCAGGCTTCTTAAAATGTCGAGCTGATTTACAGGAGGGATGAGTCTTTAGGTAGAGGCAGAACAGAGAAAAGACTTTTAAAATATAAAAAAACACTATTGAGAATTAATATAAATAGAAAAACAGCATACAAACAAACAAACAAACAAAAAATGGGTCATTAAAATACAGTATCTACAGTTACAGTGGTCTACAAGATGACCGACTACCTGTACATTGGGACCGACACAGTCTGCTCATAAAAGTCCCATGTGGACAGCAGGTCTGTACGGGAAAGATTTGTGGCATAAAATCTCCAAGCTGCCTGATGTGGGGAAAAAATCATTGAAATGAACTTCTAAGGTAGTAAATGACTTCCATAGTAATACATAACTGTGTGCAGTAACCACCAACATTTCAAGCCATCTAAATCAAAGAAAACCTGATGAGAGTGAAAGTTGAAAGATGGTCCTCAATATATCTTTTTTTAACATAGCAAAGTCAACATCAACTAAATATGGTATTAGTAGTCCAACTGTATTATATTAGTAAGCACATTTATAGACACCAGAAAGGCCTACAAATGCTGATTTACTCGAAATGTGTATGGTGTGAATTACACTAGAGTTACAGGTCTGACCTGGATAAGAGCTGCAGCAGGGTTGCGACGCTTCTCAAAATGCTTCTGCCTGTGCTGCTCTTGAACCTTCAGAGCAAATCCTGAGCCCAGGATACCCTGCAACAGAGAAAACAGTGCAGAAATACAACTGTTTGTGAGCCATGACTGAAGTCAGGCACTAGAGATGCTCAACACATCATTTCGGTTTAAACTCACCGCAGGAAGAGCAAAAAAAGCTACACCGATCAAACTGAACATGGCAGCAATTAGACGCCCATTCCATGTGACAGGATACTTGTCCCCATAACCGATAGTTGTAAGAGTGATCTAGAGAACAGAAATGATTTTGCTTAACAATGGCATAGCTTAAGTGTATATACTAATCATATATTCTAGTAAGGCTCTAGGATGGTCATGTAGAGGTTATAAATTCAATCCCATGTTGGGATCCTGTTGTATCCTTGAGCCCAGTTTATGGAGTAATGTCCACAATTAGTTTACTCTAAGTTACTCTGGAGTGAAAAGATCTGCCAAAGGAGCCTAAGAGGAGCTGCCAGTTCTTTTAGGGCACTGGTCCATTTGTGAAATGGATTTTTGAGCAGCGTCTTGTTTCACTATGTTGTATCTTCTCATTTTATCTGATTAGATGGAGGAAGCAGACACTGTGGGCTTGGATGAAGCTGTAGCACTTACCAGCCCCCACCAGAGGGCGTCAGCGTAAGTCTCGAACATCTCTGCATTTTCATCCTTCTCCACTGAGTACACCAAGAAAGATGCCAGGATAAGACAAAGGAATCCAATATACCACGCCGTAATGAGTTCCTACATTTAGGGATTCAAAAATGTTAGGAACATCAAGAACATGTGATGCATTTCATACTTAAAATAAAACATGCTAACTGCATGCAATGCCATATAAAGATTATTTTTCAAACTGCTCCATGGATGCCTAAATCAAAAAGAATTAACCTGTGCCTTTTAGTCCACATCTTTTACTTTGAGACCAGAAGTTTGGGGCTAGTAAGGTTTTTAAATGTTTTTGAAAAAAGTCTTCAGTGCTCAGCATAGCAGCATTAATAATCAGTAAAAACAGTAAAACGAGTAATATTGTGAAATACTATTACAATTGGAAAAATAAATAGCTTTCTATTTGAATATATTTGAAATGTAATTCATTCCTGTAATGGCGGATTCCTGGAATAAATAAATAAATTACTCCAGTCTTCACGTCACATGATTCTACAGAAATCATTCAAATATGCTGATTTGATGGCCAAGAAACTTATTTTATTATATCAAAGTTAAAACAGCTGTGCTGCATAAAATTTCGTAGAAACTGTGATACATTTTCAGGATTTTTAATGAATGAAAAGTTTAAAAGACAGCATTTACTTAAAAAGTAATATTTTGTAACATATTCTAGACTACATTTTGCTAAATAAAATGCTCTCTAAAATATATAAATAATGTCCTGTTACACAATACAATCTTTCACCGACCATCAATAGCAAGTAGCAAGATATGGTTATGATGTAAATTAAAAGACTACTTTAAACGGTTTTGTCCAAATCTCTGAATGCAGCAAAGAAATTTGCTTTCAAACCATTTCACGGGGTGCTTAAGGCCACTGAATAGTTTTAATAGCTGCAGACTAAACGGGGTGATATCGTCTCTCCAGTAATAGAAACTAATGAATAGTAATGAATTTGCTGGCCACTGACCCATATGGCAGACTGGTGGAAATATGCTCACTCAGTAACCTACTTAATGTGAACTTTAGCAATCTCTGTGGTCAGTTAGTACACATTTACTACCCATTCATCACACAAATCCATATGTAAACATAAATAAACATTGGTCTATACATACAGTATGCATATTGATAGACAATCAATACATGAGTTTAACAAATCTGGGGCCTCATTCAAAGAAAACGAACGTGTGCACAAAAACACGTGCGTACGCCTCTCTTCCAGATGTGACCTTTATAAATCGCAAATGATCTTGAAATTGTGCTTAGCTGACTGGTGTCAAATCTCCGCCCCCTAATTAATATCATTACCATATAAAAGAGCACACACCAACAGCCGAATTTCTATGCTTTAGAATGATGAGCACAAAGAATAATAAAAACGTTACTGAGTCTGAAATTGAGGTCCTGCTGGTGGAGGTATAGAGGTTCGTGCGGGAGCGCTTTTTATTTAATAATGAGTAATTATTCAGTGGACAAACGATGTGGTGTAGTTATATTTTTTCTATTGAGTATTATCAAAATTACTACTTCTAGAAACAACAGAAATAATAATAATAATAATAGTAGTAGCCTAGTAGTAATTATAAAACAATTAGGTTTCCAAAAGTAAGAATAAACTACGAATTCAAGTAAAATTTTCAGTCATCTTATAAAAAGTGAGCCATCCTACTTTTAAAATCACTTGGTATGACAACTAATAAAAAGTTTAGCATCACGAAATTCTTGCAAAACTTTAAAAAAAAACATTATTGAAAGAAAAATTGGACGTTTCATATCATAATAAAATTAATTATTACACGATTATGGTCTGCGGTCTGAAAAAAACATGTGCATGTGATTTGGCATTTCTTTATATTTACACAGTTTACTAAAGCTGCTCAAATGTGCCATTAATGTACTGACACAAAATATATAGTGTATTTTATGCAAATGTTACTGATGTAAATGACAAAAACAAAGTTTAAGGCTGATGTCTCTATTCATTTTCACAGAAGCAAAGCAGCAGATGTTATAAATAAAAACAGTTAACAATGTTATTGAATAGAATATATTAAAACTGATATTGCATGACATAGGCCTATACTTATAGGCTACATAGACAAAACAGTCGGAGATGCGTTTCATTCATTTTTTTTCTATTTTACGCATCACTAGTAAATCAAGACTTCGCAAGTTCTCTTGTAAAATAAAATAATAAAAAAACAGCATGGAATAGCCTAAACTGTGTACAGAAAGCGAGTAAAGAACTCTCAACATTAGGCTACTAAAAAGGTCAGTTTAATCTTGCAAAAACTCCCGTTAATAAAAAAATCTGACTACACTGCACAATTAATCTCTTACTCTGCATCTTTGTTGTTTATGATGAATGCGGTGCTTGCACGTACACCGCTTTTATTATTATTGCAGCTTAGATGTTCAAATAGCAGCAGTACTCCGACTTTGCCACAAGAAAAAGTGCGTACGTCTGCTCAGACCCTGACGTGACGGAAGTATTTTTCCACGTCAAAGACCGTTTTTATAAATATGAACTTTGCCGTGGATTCAAATCTGTGCCTACGCATGTTTTATAAATGAGGCCCCTGGTGTTTAACACTTTGTCCTAACTATCCACAGTTTGATACAGTGATTGTTTTGCATTGCACAGAATTTCTGCTTTCAGTGTGGACAGAAAAATATACTCTCTCATAAGAATACAGACATGTTACTGGTCACCTTGCTGTGTGCGTAAACCACAGATCCCAGGAGCTTCCATGTGCCACCGCGGCGGTCCATTCGCAGCATTCGAAGGATCTGAAGAAACCTCAAACTCCGAATGGCAGAGGTGGCAAAAACATTTCCCTGTGAGCCAGCGGCCAGCACAGACACCGAGGCAAAAAGGACCATGATATCTGCAGAACAAGAGTTATATCAATTATCAAATGAACTCCCCAAAACGACTCTCATCCTTTAAGACATTAGAAAGGAAATGTTTCTAATTCTCTCTTCCTTCTTCCTCATCCGTCATATAATGCACTCGAGGATGATGACAGTATAATTGGACTTTATCTTTCAGCTGAGATGTTGTGAAAATCAAATATTGGACCATATGGACTTTGCAAACAAACTGCAAAAAGTGTTTGGGATCAGTCTCATATTCACTGGCGTTATGTATTCTTTTAAATCATGCACTAATGGAGTTCAAATTATTCTGCTGTAGCACTGGCATCCAGTCTATCAAGTGCCATAATTGAGAGAGTTTTCTCATTTACTGCCCCAGTAGAAGTTGGCAAAGCAGATTTTATTGTCTCTTGAGCAGAAAGAATAGCGAGAGAGAGAGAGAGAGAGAGAGAGAGAGAGAAAAGAGGAAACATGCATTATAGAAGAAAATCAGAACAGACCAAAAAAACTTAAATGATTTTCTAACCGATGATACAGAAGGGTTTGCGTGCAAATCTCAGCCTTCCTCTCCATCCTCTGTAGCGACAGCAGCAGCCGGCTGCCCAAATCCGCACAATATATTCCACACCAAACACCACGATTGTCACAATTTCCTGGACAGACAGCAGACACATCCCCTTACTGACATTTATTTGTGCTGCTTTATATATACAGTCATATAGTTATAATGTAATATAATGCCCAATGATATAAAATTAAAATAATAAATAATAAATGATCATTCATGTCAAGAACAGAATTGTTTCAAATTTGGAATTTGACAGAAATTCTAAAACTTAGTTGTATTATATAATATAAAAGTCAAATTGTTAACAAATGAGATAAACAAAATATAACAAATAGATATGAAACTTATTACAATAAAAGCCAAAAATAAAAGCCAAAAATAAATAAATAGTAACAAATCAAAAATACACACATCACACCACATCCAAGCTTTTTATGTTAAAAGAGCAGTATGTAAGTGCTTGATGGCTACTGTTACACTGACACAAACAGATCTATAAAGTGTCATGTTCACAGCAATTCACATCACCACTGGATAATGTCCAACTTGTCATGTTCTGTTAGAATGTGGAACAGGGTCTACTGTGATCTACAGTGTCTACAATGTGCACACACAAGTGTTTGATATAAAAACCTGACAGCATCACTACCATGTATCAGCTTCTGCCAGTAACTCATGTTAAACGAGGATCAGATACAAACCAGGATGTACAAGGCACTCTCAGAGCTTTTCTTGTATTCTTTGATCGTTGCAAACACTGACAGAACCAGACAGGAAAACACCAGCAGAAACCTGCAAGACAGAACAGCAGTAAATCAAACCAATAATGGAACGCTGGCTTGCTCTCTCACATGAGATATCAAAGCAACTGAACAAGCTCCAACTGATTCAATAAGTTTCAGTATTAGAAGTTATTCATTGATATAATTTGTTTTGGATAAAGCAGTTGATGCATATTCATGAAGGACATTGATCTTAGACACTTAATTGGAATGGGGCCCTCTTGCGCCTATCGTTGGTTTTCTGATCTATGAGGAAAAATACTGGCTTGAGAGAGGCAAGAATCCTAGGAGAGTTCCTGACACTCTGCAGTTAAACTCAGAGATAAATCCCTGAAGAGAGAGAAGGAGAGTGAAGTGAAATGAGACTAAATAACTGAAAGTCTTATTAGCATAAAACCTCTCTGGGCCTCACACCCATGTACAATGAGAGAGAGAGAAAACAACAATGACAGACAAAAGCATTGACAGAAAACTTTGGGGGGAACCAGAAATATTCTGAACTGACATCCAAAGCTACCTGGAGACTTCCAAAACATTTTCCTGCAGTGGTTTTGCCCCGATTCACACCATTAGAGAGGCAACGAACAATGGTTTGCGAGATGCGGCGCTGTGTGATAAAGTTAAATGTCAGGGAATCTCGACCATCACACAATCAATGAAGGCACTCAAATAACCGGTGCAATGTCTTCAATAAGTAGAAAAAAATACCTTCAGAGAAGAAAATAAAGGTCCCCGTTTCATTCTATTTTCTCCAAAACAAAAACAAAACACTATTCACTGTTATTTGATCTATAACATACTAATTTTTTAAATATTGCAGATATAGCTGCTGAGAATCCCTGAATTATTATGTTTATAATTTGCAGCTCCATCTGAGGTGCACCTACATATTCTTGTGAATAATATGCTTTGGGGTCAGTAAGATTTTTTTTTTAAGTTTGGCGTCATTCTTCTTTTAAACAGTAGTGTACATGTTCTTTTGTTGTTTGCATTCCTTTTTGTTCATTTTAGTTGACATTTGTTTCAAATGTTATCTTTTAACAAAACTATTTATCTATTTTTTTATTCCATTGCAGTGGACAGTTTCACTTTACAAAGACAATATTTAGTCATTGGCCCTGAGCCTATGTGAATCTGCATTTTTGGACTTAAGCCCTGTGAGAGTAATAAATTAGGCAGGATTCCAGACTTCTTCATTATGCAAAGAAAAACATTATGATGAAGAAACTGTAGCTATATACTATAATGCTAGCTATTAATTTTCAATAGATCAGTATTGATTTCAAACTTTTTCTGTTCCTCTAGAAGATCAAATCTGAGTTGCCGTTGAATGACTGTAAAGGTGTCAGGCATAAAATACATCCTCCCCAGTAAGCTGCTTCTTGCCCCAGGTATTAATATTATATGCCATAACAGAAACTAATCTGCTAATTTGGAACAATCTAACAGAAGGAAAGCAGTAAAACAGACTGGTCCTAAAGGGAATGAGGCCAGAGGTGAATAAATGAAGGCTGCATTAATATAGGTGGGAAACCGAGGATTAGAAAGTCAATGGTAAATCAATCAGCTCAAACGAGAATGCTCACAGGAATTCTAATCTTTACTCATTACGCATGGACAAAAAATGCTGAGTCGTGCAGAACCAGTGACATCAGACACCTGACAACACATCACATTATGAGAACTGATTGCTCACCTTGCTGCTCTCAGATGGTTTGGACTTGTAGTGGCCATGTAGTGGCTTCAGAGGATAAGGAAGTCATTTATTACGAACATGACATTAATACAGCTACACTGGAGTTTTATACTTCACTGATGCTGATGACTGCTGACAAGCAAACCTCTAAGATCTGAATGTACTGCCTTCAGGTAAGGGGCTTTACAAACTTTGTGCTTTGAAAGTGCGACCCAAGAAAATCTAATAAGATTTTCACAAACAGACAAACTGACCACAGAGGCATCAAGCACAAGCAAGACTGCAATTACTTCAGCAACAATATAGCATTTTGACATTCATTATTTGTGATACTGCTGAATATCTGAACATCAAATGTAAAAAATCTACAGTACAAACCAGTTACATAAACACAAAAACAAATAGTCATTAAGCCCTTTTGTCTTTGTCAGGCTGGTTATTGCTTTTGATGTTGGCACCAGTCACAGACTAATCTGGAAATTGTAAGGTGGCGTAGACTAAGACTATACGGGCCTGTCAAACTAAGAGATAACAAGGACACATTCTTTGAGTCAGCAGTGAATAAGGTAACAGAGAAATCGATTTGCCTCATCCACCCCATTAGTACAATTCGCTCAAAAACGAGACTCTGCAGACTGAACCAAGGACATATACAATGATTTGTTATTAGGTGACATTAAATCGGAATTCATGTTAAATAACAATTAAGTCATGTCTTAAAAGTTTACAATACTGTTCAAAAATTTGGGGTTGGAAAGATTTTTTTAAACGTTATCGAAAGAAGTCTCTTATGCTCACAAAGGTTGCATTTATTTCATTAAAAATACAGTAAATATTGTATGTCTTCAATGTCACATAATCCTTAAGAAATAATTCTAATATGTTGATTTGGTGCACAAAAACACTTATTAATCTTTTTTTTTTTTTTTTATAAAACTAATTTGAAATTGTCTGTAAGATCACTAATGTCTTTACTATCACTTTTGATCTTTTTTGTATTCATATTAATTTTTTATAATCTTATTGACCCCAATTTTTTGAGTTGTGAGTGTATATTGTTGTGTATTACATAATAGAATATTATATTCTTGCCCTTTTGACTGCATTAGCTACCAACAACTGACTAGCAGCAAAATGAAGTTGCATATACAATAAGGCACAAATACTCACTTGCATATCAAAGCATTCACCACTTCTAAATATCTCCTTGTACCCCTTTCCTTAAGCTTGAGAAATATAGGCTTAGCTGAGTCTGTACAGCATGCAAAGTGCTATCTTTGCATTTAATGCTTGTGAAAGAGACAGAAAAAAACACTTAAAGTAAGAGGCCAAAGTCAGCACACTGCACTGCACTCTCTCTGCGTGTGTGTGTGTGTGTGTGTGTGTGTGTGTGTGTGCGTGCACGCATACTAGACAGAGTAAAATAAGAATGGTGACTGTATAAGTAATGTATCTTCAGAACTCACATTCATGTCTCAGGTTGAAGTGGGAGTCTTCTATGAGGGTTGCATGACCAGCAGAGCGGACAAAGACATTTACAGCCACTCAGAATGATACAGTCTGAGGTTATGATGCTGCATTATGACAGATTGGTTTATAGGCGTCATAAGAGATGAATGGATCTCAAAGACATTTGAGGTAATGGAGCTCTATGTGTTTCTAAAAGGCTACAGAATAAGCGATGCTGTATACGCCTTGCTTTAAGATTCAACCACAGGACCAATTTCATCTCTCAAACCAAAAAATACAGAGGTTTGTAAGTGTCATAATTTGAAATAAATCCTATAGGATATTTAGAAATATAGGATCTATAGGAAAATCATGTACCTGAAGGACATCAAAAAGAATTTAAAATAAAATCTTTATAACTCCTATTGCATGGTCTAAACTGTTTAAGCTCCCTACCCAAACAGAAAAAAACATTATTTAGGGTTATAATGATTACACAATATCAGGCTAAAAAAATAATAAATAACTTCATGCAAGAACTTCAGTTTATCCTATAGGATCTTATTTGATTCTCTTTAAATTCCTATTAGAATCCTTGAGGACAGGTTCCAAATTACTACAGAAATGTTCATCTGTAAAGAGTTTTGATTAGGGACAGCTCAGCAAGATAATGATGGAGAAATATAATACAGGCCTAACAAGGATTCACAGAAGTTCATAACTTGCTTTATATTTGAATGTGTATTTTCATCCCGGCCCGGGACGATAGACTTGATATCATTATGTCATCGCGAATTACGTTAGTGCGTAAAAGAACCGATGAACCGGCTTTTTTTAACCGGCTCATTGAAACGAACTGTCTGAAAGAACCGGTTCGCGGAAAAGAACCGGATTTACCATCACTAGATCGAATAATTTAGATTTAAATAGACTTACTTCTGGCTCATTATACACAACAGACCCAAAATAGTGACAACCATGGTTTTGATATAAACAGTAGGCATAATATAATACACATGACATACTGTAAAAAAAAACTTATTGTAAAAAAAGCAATTTTTGCGTCTTTCTGTTCTGATGCAAACAGACAAATGCGCTTTTTTGACGGTCTCGCCCATGACCGCGACGTTTAAGTCGCCAGGACAATGTAAAATCACTTAAAAAATTTTTTTTTTAAATTATCGATATAACATTATTCTCGTTGTCTAGCTAATTTTGAAAGCAAAAACTCGCCTTGTATAGACAACCCTTGACGAGGCTCGGATCGTGAACTGCCTTTCAGCCAATCATTTACGCGAAAATTACGTCACCCAATTAATATTCATAAGCCAGACTAAGAAGGTCTGAAAATGGGTCCCCTCACTTTCCAGATCGTTCCTACACCCCTGTGCCACAGCAAATAACCCAGCGACGCCCCCGTTTGCATGCCACCGGCGTAGCCATGACCCTCTGGCACGGTTTTCCCCCTTGGCAAGCAACACGGATTTGTTGCCGCGGCAAACACGATCGAGCGCACTGACGCGGTAGGCTACTACAGGAGCTGACCGGTGCTGAAACCGCTGCCTAGTGATACCCTGTGCACTGAGTCTACATATGCATCGGTAATAATCTGTGAACACTTTCCAACGACTCAGTTTATGAGATATGCACAGCTGTGAAAAGCTCATTTGGCGGCCTGGCTCTGAATGAATATTGACATTTGCTGCACAGACAAAACTTTTACATATTTTCCCACTGTTTGACTGACGCTCTGCGACAAAAGCTGCAGGCAGGCCGGCCGACAACATCTCAAACTTTCAGCATTCTGGGCGGTGCAGCACAGCAGCATCTCTGTCGGTAAATGTGGGTGATTCCCACGCCACGCAGAAACGCAAATCACGGAGCACATACTCACACATAAGCGTGGTAAATGAACGCCCAGCCGCGGGGTCTTTCCAGCGCATTGTAAAGGAAATTTTGCAGTCTGCGATAACGTGCGTTTCTTTTGTGAGCGATCCTGCCCCTGGAGATGCTGGACCTCGGTCTGCACAGGATGCTGCTCCGTTTTGTGCTCTCGGAACCGGCGATAAGAAGTGCCCCGTCTCGGCTCGTCTCCGCAGCCCCGGGGTCCAGTCCCACAAAGCCGACTTTCAGTTTCTTCTCCCCTGCCGGAGGGTGATAAACTTCACCGTTGGCGGATTCTTTCACCATCCTTACAGTTTGACAGATCCAAACGAGTGTATAAAGTAGTCGTGGGCAGACATTGCCGAACCGGGGTGTGTTCTGTAGTGCGGTGGTCTCGTACTAAAAGCCAATTGAAACGCTAAGGCGAAACTGCAATGGGTAGTCCTTTATCTTTACGCCTTCCGGCTCCTGCACGAGCCTCTATATTTAATGTTTCAGCTGTCGGATTTTGGATGAAGGGGCTGATGTAACAAATTGTTGCAAGTAGTAAATAATTAGAAAGATAGCTAAATCATTCATGGAAGAAAAGGAAATAGAACTTTGCAATGCTGAAATCTTAATGCCTCCACACAGCACAATGGAGACGAGCAGTAGGTTATTCCAGCTTGGTGTCATGTTAAAAAGGGTGATGCTTACCTTAAGTAAAACATTATAAAATCTCATTAAAGGGCTGATTTCTGCACAGGTGTGCAACTACACCGTCTATAATGGGGGGAAATGGTTATTATGGCAGACCAATCAAAAGTTGTAGTTTAATTGAAAGTGCAATAAACAGTGTAGGATGTTTCATTGTTTTTAACCTCTCTCCATGCCCACTTATATATATATATATATATATATACTATAACAGTTATGTATCCTGCTCAGTGCTGTTAATCTCTAACAATGACATATCAATAGTAATTTATAAACAAATACTCTTAATTAGTTTGATATTAGCAATGCATTAAATACAGCATAAAGACAAACCTATGGTTTACTCCTGTCAGACAGGGTGACACACTGCGCTTTAGGGTATAAGGCAATTTTACATTCCTAATTAGACAATTCTGAGGCTTCAGGCCCCTGGATTTACTGCAGGTCCTTAGTTTTACCTGAAGGTGCATTCTGAGGATCTGAATATAGATATTACATTACTTCGGAAAGGAGAGCTTAAACAATGCTTTTAATTCAACACTGAGTTAAAAACAACTGGATACATGCTTACATTACCAGCAAGGTAAGTTTAAGAGCCATTTAATGTATTTATCATTAACAGTTCAGGACAGCATAAAGACAGAGACATCACAGTCAAACATTAATCTAAAGTTAAATATTTACAGATGCAGATTAGATCTACTCCTTCACTCCACCAGTGAGGTTTTGATTAAACTGCTCTCATTAATAGAAACCAACAGAATTGGTAAAATAAAGAAAATTTTGAAATGAAAGAAAAAACAAATAAGAGGTAAAGACCAAGAAACTACAAGGCCCTCAAAAGGCTTGATTTGTAAGCACCATTGAATATTTTTTTGCTCTTTGAGCTAAAAAGTACACTTGAAATTGAGGCAAGAAGTTAAAACTTGGCAATAATAAACATAAGATAGTACTGAAAACAGGACATGAGTTTAAAGTAAAAAAAAAAAAAAAAAAAAGAGGGAAAAAATCCACATTTGAATACAAGCATACCATGTTCCAGCTTGCTGATTAGTGATGTTAAATTATTCAGTCATAACTTTTGAAAGGGGAAGCTAATTGCACAATAATGGACCGAGATGGTGCAGAAACCTGAGATTTTAATATACAGAGATAGGAACATGCTAATGCTAAGTCTTTGGGTTTTACTAGATTTAGGTCTATCATACAGAAATGATAGGTTTCATGTGGACATAAAGCATAATAACAAGCAACAACAAGGACCTTCAAAACATACAATAATGACACTGCACAGATTCTGTGGATTAAAAACACTTGTTTCCAGTTTAAAAACAATTTGCTTTGAGGACCAAATACAATTTTAAAATCCAATTAAAAATAAATCAGCATTTTACCAACACTAGGCTTCAATTTAGACTGATACGAGGAGGGGAAAAAAAACACTATTTATTAGCATAAATTCAAGTATTGTTTAAAATATATTATCATGGGTTTTAAGTTGCTGCGTCTAACTTCCATGCTGATATGTAACAGACAGTGACGTGTTACAAGCTACAATACAAACACAATGAACGTCTCATTAAGATTTCATTAAGACATGATGCTTTGTTGCATTATTGTCACTAAAGATTTACTCAAATCTTTGTTTGCGTCCTTAAAATTTGAGCAAATACGGTCAACTGTCAGGACTACTGAAGGTAACATATACTGTATAATTATATATATATATATATATATATATATCTATATATATATATATAAAATGAAATGCAGACTTCGCATGTTACAAAAGCCATCACATACTAGTGTACATACTAGCTTAACTAATCCAGGATCACTGTTCAATTTCCAGGCCTTCTCGGTTACTGACCACACAGCTGAAGTTAGAAAATTAAATATCGAACACATTGTGTAAAAGCACGATAAAGTTTCCTATCCAAATATACACTAAGTATACAAAATGAAAGATGTACAATATTATATGTTTTAACATTATTAATACTCTTTAAATTATAGCACTGCTGTTCCCAAAGAGAATATGCTTATCCCTCTGATACATACATATATTTACCTAAATACAAAACTTCAATAAAATCCTACTATATCTATTGATTCTTCACATGATACCGTTGCGTTTCTTTATCTTCTAAAATGTACAGTACTTTTAATAAACACTGAAGAACACAAGCATTTTTTATTGTGCTTTTCCAAACAGCCGCCCAAAGCAGCACCCCAGGATAGTCACGCACTGTAACACAGCACTGATTCATTTTTAAAAAGTGCTATACACCATTTTTTTTCTCCCAGTTGATCAATAATGGTTTCAACCTTCAATATCAACATTCTGATTGCAGTGAAATCTTGTATTTTGTATGCGGGCCTATGTTTTTGTATTGTTTGAGAAGCTTATAGCCTCCAACTGTTTCCCTTTTATTCTTAAAATGTGCCGTTAATAGAACTTCACAATAAAATTGTGTTGTTAAACAGAATCAAGCGAATTTTAAACACAATGACGATTTTGAAACTGATCCATGTAGGCTGGAATGATTTCAGTACTTTCATAATACCTGATATGAGTGAGAGAATCGCAACAGCTCTCTGAGGGCACCACCTCCCATGACACAGTGCAGACACATGCATGCTAAGCTACAGTAATTGCACATAATCACCACGTATCTGAACTTAACGTCGCCATCCAGACCAAACCACCCTACTTGCTGACGCAAGATTGCAGTCAGAGGCGAAAGGAAGAGATAATACAACCTTTTACAGTTAGATTTAGCCATTCACATGCCAGTCCAGATCCATTAGGAGACCAAACAATGTAGCAATGTGGGCAGACACTGCTAGCCAAGATTAGCATTGTTAGCATTAGCGATTTTCTCAGCTGCCAGAGCAGGAGATAAAAGTGGTCGGACAGTTCTCATTTCTCATCGTGTTGACCTCAGCCAGTTCTCTCTGGATGAGGCTGGCCGGGAGTTGAGATGTGCTGAGGCATGGTCTCAAAATGATAAGCCAGTCTTGATATCTCCCAGCATCTAGAAGGTCTGAGAGACAGACATCACCTCATTCAAAGATCTCCATCGGAGGGGGGTAAACACAACCTGAAGAGCCTGTGATGAGGATTAAAAAGAGATTGGTTACTGTAGAAGTTTCATTCAACTCCAAAGCCAAACCAGGAATAATCACTTTTCATTTAAAAAGTTTTAAATTTAAAGTTAAAGTTAAAGTTTCATTTAAAGTTAAATAGCAAGAGTCAGTGATACCTGGGAGCACACGGTGGCATCTGGTCCATTACTCTGAGATTTTTGGCAGAAATCTCCACTCTGGTGCCCTATAAATAAAGACAGTTATTATTGATGGTTGGAATCAGAATGGCATAAATGTCAGTCTTCATGTTCTAAAACATGCTAAAGAGTTTCATCAGAATATTTGGTTTCGTCTGTTTCTGAGTGTATATTACTAGTTTGTTGCTCGAATTACCAACAACTCTTTTATCCTTTAGACTACTTGCCCACACATATTTATTGATATATTCAAGCATATGTCAAGCATTGAATTGTATCTGTTAAGATTCTTCTTACTATTCTACTTCTCGCATAATATGGCTACCTATAGAACCGTATGCTAAAAGGTGTGAAATGTAGCACACTGATTAGAGTTTCAATATATATGTTGCCAGTTTTGGAGTCAGTCTCTCAAAACTAGATTTTGTAATTTTTTTTAATGAATCTAATCTTTTTATTCAAACTCCTATAGTTTTCATCCAAGTGACCAAATTTGAGTCAGACCATCTGGAGTTGATGCCAGTCAAAAGCTTTTTGATATTGCTTACATTTCAACAAATAGAGAAAGTTCAGACATATCTTCTAAATAGTACTGTCAAATGATTAATCGCGATTAATCGCATCCAAAAACAAAAAGTTTTTGTTTACACAATATATGCATGTGTCCTGAATACATACACATGCATGTATATATTTAAGAAAAATATGTTATATTTATATATTAAATATATTTATAATATAAATTATATTAATGTAAATATAAACCTGTAAATACACGTAAATATTTTCTAAATATATAGTGTATGTGTGTCTTTATGAATACAAAATAAATATACACAGTACACACACACATATATTGTGTAAACAAAAATTTTGTTCTAGCAAAAACCTATTTTGGATGCGATTAATCGTTTGACAACACTACTTCTAAACGCATATCTTTTCATACTGACATAAAAATGGCTGAATATAATTACCATTACAGTTTTAAGGGAAAACATCACCAATTTTTAACTAACTTTTTATTATCATTAGGGGTTGCACCGACTAATCGACTTCAACGCTCTGCCATGACGCTTTAAGCTTGACGTCGACTAGTTACTGGTCCTATAGAGGGCACAACAGGATAAGAAATCTTTGAAGGACTTCCACATTTACGCTCCGCTTTCAATCAGTTAAAATGACAAATAAATGCATACTCTAAAAGCGCTCCACAAGACATGTGTGATTATATTACTGGATGCTCGAAATTGAACGGGAGAATGCACGTTTTAAACCACTTATTGTACAGGTAGGTAAGTTCATCGCCGTTCTAATCTAATGCGCTGCTGCACTGTAACACACACATTACAGACAGTAGCTCGTAATCACGCGCAGATCACGTGCACACAGAATAATTCAGCACGGAAATGTATTGTCAACACTGTTTTGTGATTTCTCAATAAAATAGCTTTGAAACTGAAAAGTTCAAGCATTTATTTCTTAATAACTAAATCCCACAGCTTCACTACTAGTAGAGAAACGCTGCCAGGTAGAATTAATTCACACACGCAATCGCTCTCACTAATGCATTCATAATATGTGCTGCTTTACTTTGCTACTTTATCTGTATCTGATTTAGAACGAGCAGAAATCTGTGAGAAATATAACGACCCAAAGACAAAAGAACTGATAAAAATGAGCTGTTGGAGCAATAGCCATGTGGGCAGCGCTATGCCATAGTTGTACACAATGTGTTTGTCACAGCTCCAGACTTATTTGTTCATTAATGACATCATCATCACATAAAAGTCGACTTAAAAAATCCGAAGTTGTTCAACCCCTAATTGTCATAAAGTCAGGAGTATATGTAAATAAACAATGTGTACTATTTCTATGTTACATGCATCCAAATATCTCAGTTTATTTGTTAGCAAAAGTATGTCAGTGTTTTGCACCATCTGGCAGATTTTCCTGACAAATACATGGATATCTGAGAGCAGGTAACATACAAAGCTGGTTGAAAACCTGTGAAGTTGTCCTTTAAGTGTACAGAAGCATTTTACTGGCCACCTACTGGGCAAAATGCATACAGTAATCCACAGTAAATCATGCTTCTTCATTCCATACAGTACAAGTCTGGATAAATAGTTTATTCACACTGAAAAAACTACACCTCAAATATCCAGTATGAGGCCCTCATGTAACAACTTTTTACTGCATTTCATTTTCTGTAGGCGGGAATTATTTTTAATGATATTCTAATGGGCCGCTTTGTGATATCACAAAGCCCGGAAACCAACGCTGTAGTCCAAACGAGCCGTTTGCTGTAGTTCTTGAAAAGGGATTTTTTTAAAAACTAAATATCTCCCTTTGGAGTGGACTTTAAGATTTGTAACTTTCTAGATCTTTTTTTATGCCCAAACATACACACTACACACTGACTAAAATTTAAAAAGTGAAAAAGCATAATAGGACCCCTTTAAGTTGTATTCCTCATCTCTTGCCATTAATGTGCATTGGGTGAAATATAATTTAAATAGAAAAAAGTAAATAAAACAAATATATACAATAATCTTTTATTTAAAACATTTAAAATAAATCTGGCCTCACTTCATTAAAAAACTTTTTTTTAAAGAATGAACTTACTTAGAGTTAGTCTGGAGTGGCCTATTTGGCAGCAGGTATAGATGTAGAACATTTTCTACCAAACCACAGGATTGATTTTGTAAGATTTAAAGACATAAGGTGAGCAGTTTGAGATACACGTCATAAGCTGTACCTGTTTGCGCATGATGTCCATGGTCTGCATTAGGCAGCGGGGCATGAGGCTGTGGTTTCTGGATAGAGTAACGGCCTGCTCCAGTGACACAGTCAGAGTACATCTACACAGGAAAAAAAAAACCTTAGTCAAGAGGCAGTTTAGACAATCTGTTATAGATTTGAGCAAGAAATAAATCAAAGTCAAAATAAAATATAGTTTACAGTAGAAACTTGACTGTGGCTCCACTTCAGTAGTAAGAGGCTTAAAGATAAGAAGCGTGCGTTTGGAGCCGTCACTCAATAAAACTCTATTCCCATCTGTGGATTCACGCTTGACTATTGGATTTAGAGAAACATGAAAAGAACATTTCAATGCAGATACCTCTGCATCCCAGTGGCACACATGGTGATGTGACAGGCTCCCAGCCGGTTGCAGAGTTCGGAGGACACCACAAGAACACTGACTCCAGAGGGCTGACCCGCAGAGCTGGGTTTTACATTCATATACTTCTGCATGAGCCGACAGAGGTCATCCAAGGTGTTAAGCGGCCGGAGGAGCTGGAGATTAAAATGATGAAATTAAACTTTTTGGTTTTAAACCTTAAGAAAACGTTTTCTACGCATTGATTTCTTTGCATTTTGATTGTGTTCCGTTTGGTCTGTACAGGAATCCCAGTGCCAAAACATACACAAGTTTGCAGTCTGTAAGTTTACTAATTTTGTTTTTAAAAGAAGTCTCTTATGATCCCAAAGGCTGCATTTATTTGATCAAAAATATTGTTAAAAGAGTAATATTGTGAAATTTTTTATTGTGTTTTGTGTTTTCTATTTTAATATATTTAAAATTTTTACTTATTCCTGTAATGGCAAAGCTGAATTATCAACAGCCATTATTCCAGTCTTCAGTGTCACATGATCCTTCATGAATCATTCTATTTGCTGATTTGGTGCTCAAGAAACATGTATTTTTATTATTATTTTTGAACAATATCAACGTTAAATTTTTTTGGTGGAAACTGTTATATTTCTTCAAGATTCCTTAATAAATAGAAAGTTCAAAAGAATAGAATTTATAAACAGAAATCTTTTGTAACATTGTAAATGCCTTTACTTTTACTATTGATCAATTTAATGCATCCTTGCTGAATAAAAACATTTTAAAAAATCAACTGACCAAACAATTGAATGTTAGTGTGTAAGGATGTTACCTGGTCTATTTTCATTGCAGTGGAATTTGAGTCTGAATTTGATTTCTCCAGATAAAAAGCCCTAAAAAATTAAAGACATTATATAAACAATTAACACTTTTTTGCCATTTAAATCTAAAATATATTACATAAATTATTTACTTAATGAGATGTTTAACTTATATTTTTAAAGTTATCTTTTTAAACTATGTTATTAATTTATATAAATAGTTTAGCAGCAAAATTCAAATCAATCAATACATCTAGCAAAGGTCACTCGGTATGATGGCCAAATATACCTGAGTTTGCGGTAATAACCTTTGACCTTCTCCAGTGACAGAGCATTTGTGTGCTGCTGAAACTCTTCCATGGCAACAAAATCCTGAGACAACACACCTTCTGGCTTCTCCAGCCCTGATAAAGATTAAGAAAATGCAGATCAATATCATGCTAGGCCCAGTGCTGTATTGCTCTCCACATGCCACTAGATGGAGACCACGACTCATAAAGGAAACCATGAGGCTTCAATTAGCTCTAATCTAAATGAGCACATTAGGACCATGACTAATTCTGATACACATCTAACACTCTCTCTATACACTGTGACATCTGAGTAGGCATTTTTAAAACAGTTTTAAAACAGGGCCATATTTGGATTTGAGCCATAAATGCCTCTTATAAAGCAGAACCCTAAACGTCATGGAACCTCACAAGTGACAGCTTTGGAACACCACTCATTTTCATATTTCATAAGAACCTCAATTGATTTTAATAGTTTTCTGATACCAGGCTTGCATGTTAAAACCATTAATTTTTTTTTGTTACTTGAAATAAACACCACCTGAAATAAACTCATTTTATTTCAGCTAGATGCCAAGGAACAATTTCTCAACAAACAACTAGAACTAAAACTAAACTAAAATTAAATAAATAATAGACACTTCTCTTGCCTTGATTTATTCTTATCACATTGCATTTTGGGATAGGTGTTTCCTCAAAAGAAGCATGCCTGGCATCTTAAGGGGCAGCATACTTAAGGAGGCTACCTTTTTGAATAGCCTATAGTGCCTTAAAATATAACCTTTGTAGGCAGCTCACAAAGTTTTAGAACTGTAAATTACAAATGAAACGCATGTAGAATGGAAATAGTCATTTATCTTGTTTCTTTTGTCTGCTCCCACCTCTAGTGAAGAGGACTGATTGAAGCTTCAAAGAGCCTCCATTCTGCAGTCTTGTTGGCAGCTCACTGAAATGACAGCTGTCCAAGAACATTGTCACCCTGATGGCCTGCCGGCTGCCTTCCACCTGGTAATGCACAGCTGTGTCTGAAAGAAAAGTGCATTAAAGGATGCATGAGTCACAGTGAGAGAATATTTAAAATTCTATACAATTTCAATCTTTGTCCTTTGCACTACTTCATTTAAGAAAAGTCTGCACCCATACATACTGTATACAGTATTCTTTATATGAGGTCACGCTGGGAAACTTGTCAGGTTAATTAGGTTGTAATTAGCCTGATGAGATGAGTAAAGGCAAAAACCTCACAGATGTGTAAGAGAGAAAAAGCCAAGCTGTTCACATTTGTACAACACAGAGATGACCTTGTAAATAAAACACCTTTGTGGCAGAAACAAACTACAGAGCAGAGCATCCTCCCTCCGATTTAGTCAAACCAAAACAGAAGACGGCAGATAAAGCTGTTCTCCTATCACGACTAACTGTGCTGGCATTCCTGAAGAGGACATCTGGAGGGTGTGTGTATGTTTGTGAGGAGGGGAAGGGGGTGCTGCTATATAAGGATGAGAGTTTTGGCTTTCACTTTTTAGTGGAATCACACAGCTTTATCAGAGAAAGGGAGGGACCCTGGATCTAACTATTTATAAAGGAAAGGAATTTGTGGTCATTGTTGCTGGTGTTTCAGTGGTTTACAAAATGCATTTTAAAACCTTTATTTACTTAGCATACATGTTTAATAAATATTTATACCATTTCTAACTAATATTATGTAAACAAAAACTTTTATTTTGGATGTGATTAATCGTTTGACAGCACTAATATATACATACATATATACATACATCAATGGATTACTTGGGTTATTACCGACATCTGGTGAAAATTTCATGTCAACAGCACCTTTAGAAATGGTGACGTGTGCAATACTTATTTTACCCGCTGTATAAATAAATATATATATATACATAAATAAATATATATATATAAATACATAAATAAATAAATATATAAATAAAAGTTTGGTTCCAAAACCCCATAAATGCCATTTTAAAAAAAACATATAGTTTCAGCCAAAATCAATATTGTATCTGGTCGATATTGAAAAGTACATTTTTAATTTGAAGCAAAATGCGATATCCGCGGAGTTATTCTGTCAGCACTAATATATACATACATATATACATACATCAATGGATTACTTGGGTTATTACCGACATCTGGTGAAAATTTCATGTCAACAGCACCTTTAGAAATGGTGACGTGTGCAATACTTATTTTACCCGCTGTATAAATAAATATATATATATATACATAAATAAATATTATATATATATACATAAATAAATATTATTTATAAATACATAAATAAATATTATTTATAAATGGTGGCTACGGTGACCTCGGAATAAGAGAGAAACAGACTAATATTAGCGTAGATGCCAGCTGAAGGGGGAAAACCACTTAAACCAGCCGGGAAAAACCTAAGACCAACAAACCAGCTAATACTGCTTAAATCTGATGTTATCAGCAAAGGATCCGCAAAACAGTGTGTGAAATGTTCACAAAAATCTTTTGGCTCGTTTAATCACATTATGGAGCAGAATCTCGGAACTAGTGGTGTCCAAGCGCCTGGTTTAATTTAATTTACATTTACATTTAGTCATTTAGCAGACGCTTTTATCCAAAGTGACTTACAAATGAGGACAATAGAAGCAATCAAAACTAATTGACAAGTCTCGGTTAGCCTAAGGCAGTACACGTAGCAAGGTTATTTATATATATATATATATATATATATATATATATATATATATATATATATATATATATATATATATAGAGTTTGGTTCCAAAACCCCATAAATGCCATTTTAAAAAAAACATATAGTTTCAGCCAAAATCAATATTGTATCTGGTCGATATTGAAAAGTACATTTTTAATTTGAAGCAAAATGCGATATCCGCGGAGTTATTCTGTCATGTTTTCTCCCTTTTTTTCCAAACCGCGACAAACACCAGTCCTCCATCTCTGCAGAATGCGATATATCCGCTCAACCTATCACAGCGCACCATTCCACGCACTCTAGACAGTAATGACGGTGCTTTGAATACACCCGGCATCCTAGTTTTCCTAATCTATTTTGTACTTTGTGATCAACAAAAACTTAGGGCTGCATGATAAATCGCATGTGATTGTCATGCGCATCGCGTCAGTAAAGCCGGTTCTGTGAATAATAAATCTCCATCACGTGCTTTCAGATGGAGCGGCATTTAATACACAGAACCCACTGTATATATACACATATACATACACACATATACATACACATGGATTTTTCTGTTGGCACTGTGATTGACAAGCTATTACTCGATGTGTTTGTGTTAATATATGTGGTGTGGTGTCATACTTTGGACGAGGCACTCGTTCTCCAGTGGGCGGAACAGCACGGTGACTTTCTCCAGATCTTGCAGTGCTGCTTTTGTATCTTCCAGCATGATTCGCTCTTCTCTCTGTTCAAGTAAACAGTTTGTGAGCCCAAAATAATCAAGATCTTCATGCTGAAGCAGGAGAGTATATGACTGAAATAATACTGCACACATCCATGAAAATCCAGGATATGATGGCCTTGATTCTGTATTTAGTCCTAATGGTCTCAGGATTAATTTCTAAAACTTTATTATCATGCTTGTGTGTATTAGTAGAAAGCACTGAGCCATTGTGGGATGACGGTCACTGAATCAGCTATGATAAGATGTACTGTCTAGTAGTCTTACCACATGTGGAGAAAGTGTTGACTGGAAGTCAAAGAGCACTCCAATGGTGGCGATCTGCTCCAGCCATTTCCGGCTGACCTCTTTACTGTCCTCCTCATACTCTCCGTTATTGTTGAAACGCAGGTTCAGCGCATTCACAAGCTGCTCCGCCAATGCACACAGCGCCCCCACCAGAGACTGGCAGAATATGACATCCCGCCGCAACTGGAGTTCTGTGTCTGGGACAGAAGAGTAGAAAAGAAGTCATGATATTTGTATAAATATATGTATATATGTGTGAGTGTACACTCACATTTATTCATTATGCATGGAAAATATTGTAATTATTTTTCCACATATCTGTATCACATTTTTAAGAGTCAATAAATCATACAGACAAATAAAAATATTTGTCTGGGACCCAATCATTTGTTTAAACTATAATATAAATTATAATATAAAATATTATAAATATTATTGTATATTCATATTCAGTACTCTGGTGAAGAGATACACTACTGTTCATAAGTTTGGGGTTGGCAAGATGTTTTAATGTTTTTGAAAGAAGCCTCTTGAGCTCATCAAGTCTGAATTTATTTGATCAAAAATACAGTAAAAACAGCAATATTGTGAAACATTAATACAATTATTAATATATTTTTTAAAATAAGCCATGTTGTGTAATAGTTTAAGCAGATGGTGGGTTTCACAGCAGCGGGTGGGAACAGGGATTGGAGCTGCTGTCTGTGTGGAGCAGTAGGGATAAGGGCCCTAGATCAGGTTCCAATGCAAACGCTCAACAGCTTCCACATGTCTCCCACCACAGACCCCACGGGACAAACCCACTCTCACTTTATCTGTGTCTACTGCTTGCTCAAAAGCTCACAAACAGACACACCCCACTGCAACTTGACTGCACGCACACAAACATATGCACACACTCCCTGCTACAGAATTCCAATAAAACACTCCCTTATCACAGCACATGGAGGTGTCTGTAAATACAGCTCAGTCCAGAACAGTAGTAGGGATGATAAATCACACACAATGCAGTTGCCTTTCTGAAGTCTCACACAGATGACGACGCAAGTTTGTGACCATGTAAACATTCTGGGTTGACTTTCAATAGCTATTTGAAATGATCTACAGTACAATGGTCAAGTTCAACAAGGGAAAGGTTCAAATCTAGAGTAACTTACCAGTGCATTTAAGCAACGCCAACAAGAGTTGACTCCTTCCGTCTGCAACAGTTACAAATAGACATGAATACAACCCAATGCACAATAATACAGGACATTATAGCCTGAACAACTTGAACGTGCAATGGTTTTGTAATCTAGTTTACTGGTGTAGGGGCTGTTCACACAGCATGTGTTTTGCATTGCCACTGCACTGCATGTAACGCCATCTTAACTTAAAGTTCAACTTTTTAAAAGTTTTTAATTTCACAAAATAGTTATTTTGTTTAGCTATTATTTGTTTTTGCCCCCTCCCAGGTTAACTTTTTTAATTCCACAAACAATGTGGCAACTGCTTTTCCATAGTTTTTCAATATAAACATGCTATTCTAAAAGAGTGGCTCTCAAGTTAAATGAAAAAAAAAGTCTCTCTAGAATTTTTTTTTATTCTACTGCCCCTTTCTGTGTGAATGGCCCTTTAGGATACGTAAGACAAAAAATGTAGGACAGGATTTTAAAATGTGCATTTAATAACAGAATGGAGCCAGATCTGAATACAAGTTTAAAGTTCATTTTGAAGGACTCCTAAAACACCATTTGGTATCTTGACGTACTCCAATGGTAACATTTTTCAAAATAATTGTTATTTGCTATTATTACTGCAGATTTTATTGCATGAATCATCATTCAAATAATGTACGATGATGATTTGTGCACTATAAAACGTGTTAAAAAAGTAAATAGTTATATTGACTTGCCTTCTACGAAGCGATGCAGGCTGTTGACTAGAGATTTGATTGAAATGGGCAGATTCCAAGGGTCCTCCTGGATATTCTTGTGCAAGACACATCGCCAGCGTGCAGTCCAGTCATCCGTGTGACGAAACTCTATTATAGTTGATAGACATTATATATTACGGAATAAAAGTGGGGGTGAAAAAATATATATAAAAATTTATAGATTTATATATAAATATATGTATACAGGGAACTATATATATACATATATATATATATATATATATATATATATATACACACATATATATATATATATATATATATATATATATATACACACATA